ATTGAAAGTAAGTTTCAATTCACAATCGATTGGAAAGAGTTTGAATCGCCCACTACCTCGCTAAAAGGAACCTAATGGATCGTACACCGTGTAAGGTAGAGATTGAAGATTCAACGGAGATGAGTAAGAATAATTAAATGGTTTAATTATTTATGGCAAGGATTAATTAATATGATTATTAATCAAACGAATAAGTTCGTTAAAAGACCTCGGGATAGTTTTGGACATTAAGGCCCAATGGGCTTCGAACGTCAAGTCCATTGACTTAAGTTGTATGACAACTTAATGAATAATGATTCACAAAGGCCCAAATAGCCCAATAAATCCCCTTAGGCTGGCCATTTAGAGGAGGGTAGTGAACTTGGCTTAATTGCAAGTTTGCCACTCCATTGTGAGATGGTATAAAGACATCTTTATAGCCATTTCATCCTTAGGGTTTTCTAGGGAGTAAAGATGAGAACACAAAAACCTCCCTTTGCTCTCAAAGAGGCCGGCCAATCTAGAGGGGAATAGCTAGTAATCTTACTTCCTCTAGGTCACTCATTTCTTCTACAATATACCTTGGTGTGGAGACTTAGAGGTTCTCAATTTTGGGAACTTGGAGAAACCTTTTCATCCATCCAAATCCATGGATCCAAGATGCAAGGAATGAAGGCCCTCTCTTTGGGTGATTAGCCTTTGCTTATGCAAAGAGGAATCTACAAAGGTATTGATTTCTCAACTCACTTTGTTTTGAGTTGAGTCTTGATTCACCTATCTACTAGGCTTTGAATTTCATGGGTAAATGTTTTGTTTTAAGTGCATACAAGCATGATTCCGCCTTTAATTGTTAATTGCATGCTATTGATGTTGCTTAAATGAACATGTTTTTCACAAATTTTCCTTCATTTCACCACGGTGAAGGTGTCCTTAGATTTTGAAGTCAGGACAATAACTACAGACTCTAAGTTGGAAATAGGACGGTTTACCTCAGGTGGTCCCAACCGTCGAAAAGTAAAAGCGTCACCCAATAAGTTGCCTCAATGCACAATGACACCTTCAGTAAAACATTACCATTTTTAGGTCTTCGAACTCAAACCACTTCGATTTTTCGTTTCACCACACTTCTATGTAGATACAACTTTGCCCGTAATTCCTAAGGAAAACATGTTGTAGAGTATCGGTCCGATGTTGAAAGTCGTCCAACAATCCATTTCGTAATTGATGAGGCACAATCTCGACATGAAATTTCTTCTTCTTCAATAGGATGTGACTATTCATGCAAATGAGGGTTGCACCATTGTGCCGAATGACAACAAATCCGGAAATCGTGACATCCAAGTGATGTCATGACCGACACACCACTACAGTAACAGAAGATCCTAAGTATGCTTTGAACAAACCACGCTCTGATACCAAATTAACAAGCTCGACCCTGGTATTCACCAAACACCAGGGTAGGCATGTGCTAGCGGACACTTGAAGGTGAGGAAGCCATATTAGGATGCATGAGACTAGAACAATTAACCTACGTAATTAAAATTTGTAAACTTAAGTATAATAAATATGCAATTGTGGAACGTGCTCAGAGTATACAACTAATCCGAGACATTAAAAATGAATAATATAAAATTGAATGAACAAAAGGATGGGTCCTACACCGAAAGAACTCGAAGATGCCGATGCAGGAGTGCCTTGATGCCGGGATTGTACTCCTCGGTCCTTAGGGGGCGCAAAATAAAACATGAGTGGACTAAGTTTATATATAAGTAATTTTGAAACAGTTATTCATCAACGTACTAACCCCCAAAGTTTATGAAAACTCAATAGTATAATATGTAATAGGTTTTCTGAAAACCCTAGCATGCCATAAAACCTTTGTGTAAAACATATATCATATATAATATGTTAAGTAGTGGTATCAGTATCGCCACAAGGCATATAGAACTCTTCATTAGACCAAAGGCATATAGAACACTTCATTCAGAACACTTCATTTAGAACACTTCCTTCACCCGAAGGCCTTCATTCGCCCATAGGCTCTTATAGCATCCATCCAAAGGCATATATAAGTTTCAATTGCCTGTAGGCTCCTACAGCACCCACCCAAAAGCATGTAAGTATCAATCGCCCGTAGGTTCCTACAACACCCACCTGAAGGCATATAGTGACCACTAGATAAGCACAAAAATTATTTAATATAATATTTCCAAACATATATACATATATCTCAACAAAGCTCAGTAGCTCAAACATCATATCTTAAAATATCTTCATAGTATGTAGTCACCAATCATATGTACTACAAAGAATGTAAAAATCGATAAAGTATGGTATTCCAAAATATTCTCAGTACAGCATGATATCTCATAAAGTGTAGACCTAATTTACTCATAAACGTTTCATAAAACGTAACCAATAAATCATGCTTTTCATGTATGCATTTCTAATAGTAAAATCATGCATTTTAGAAGGGGTCTACTTACCTTACACCGTTGGCGTAGAGCCGTGCAACAAAGGTGCATAGGAACACCACTAACAAACGCACCTAAGCACATAAAGGGTCCAATAAATTAACTCTACCATAACAATTGAATTTCAGAAAACGGATGTCATAAATGGATTCAAGATGTCAAAAAACAAAAAAAGGACCTCGGGTACCCCCACACGCCGCCACACGCGCCCTCATGCACCATTTGAGGGCACCATTTTGGGTCGTTGAAAAAGCCACCGTGGATGGTGGCGAAGCATAGTACCTTCGATGGAGGCGCATGTGCTCCACGCGCAGCCTAGGATCTAGGTTGGTTTATGGGATAGGTTGGTGTCTAAGCACGTACCTACGTTGATAGTGTGTCAGGAAACCAAGAATAGTGACTCCGCCACTGCCGAAGGTTTACAATCTTGGCCTGCGGTTGAGACAGTGGTGCAGGTCTGATGGGGGTAGTGTCGTCGCTGACCTTCATTGTGTAAGGTGTGGTGAGCTCGGAGAGAAAGAGAGAGTTGTAGGGAGGGATAAAGGAGAGATTGAGAGATTAAATAAAGTGAGGGGGAAAAAGAAAGAGAGTGTCATGGTGAGGGGGAGAGAGAAAGAACAAGTGGGTTGGGGGACAAACTCAAAGGCTGGCCCCCTTGGGCACACCAATTAAGGCCATAAAGCAACATCTCAAACAAATATCCCACAACCAAAGTGAAAATTACTAATTTACCCTTTCGATTTGCCAAATCCGAGACGGGTTGTTACAACTGGAGAAAAGGGAGCTCGTAAAGGATGATGACGAGGAAGACTTTAGATTCTTTGACAATTAGGAGGGAGGCGAAGAGGGAGACGAGGTTGTGGGCGATGAGAGTTGATGAGGAGAAGAAAGTAAGGAGCAAGAGAGAGGACGATCTTAACAATCCCAAGGTTTCTAGGGGTCTCGCCAAGATTGTCTAGCGAGCCTTCCCTCTCCCACCCCCAATTCAAGGCAAATGAAAGCTAAATCCCATTAAAGCTAGTCCATGCACATAACAAACACGAGACTACACTAATTCTTAGTCCCTCCCATGAAATTTTTAAAGCCAAACAAACGCACCCTAAAAAGATAATCACTTGAGTTACGAGGGAAACATGAGGAAATCCACGTGCCCTTTCTATATAACTTTGTCCTTTGGTTACTTATTCAAGCTCTATTAACACTGGAAAGTAATTTCACCGCATTCTTTTTCTTACTTCAAGTAACTCGACTTATTGATAATCATTGGATTGAATGAATTAAGAGAAAATCCAAAGATGAAAATAAGCATCAGTTTGCAAAATGAAAAAAAGAGCGGTGAAAAATTTGTTGCCTTTGATATTGGCCTCGTCGCTTACAACTTATTTATTTTTATTTAATACAAAATTTGTAATTATATTTTTAACTAATAAAATATGCACTTTGAGAATGAAATTTTCTTTCCTCATTCTCATTCGTATGGCATGAGAACATACAACTTTCATTTTAGTGTTTGAAATGGTGTGAAATAAAAAAAGGAAATACTCTATATTTTATCATTCCCATTTTTGGTTTATCAAGTAATAGAATTAGTGAGTTTTTATCCACAGACTTCTTTTTACCTTTCACATATTCATTTCATTTTCTTACATTCGGATGGAATGAATTGTAAAGGATCAAAAGAGAGAAATTAACGTTCAATTCCTGGTATTGGTTCACACAATGGTGGCCAGTATGAGGTTGAAATACCTCTGTGAGTCTTCCCGACTCTCGAAAGAGCAGACTTCCGTGATGAAGCAGCGAGCCGATTCGTTTTTTTTTTTTTTTTTTAAAGTAATGGTCATTTTTTTTTCTAAAAAAAAAAAAAAAAGTCGTTGAATTATATGATTAAACTGTAACTAAAGTCCTTTAACTTAAAATTCATTAGATTTAGCATCTGAATAATTTTTTTTTTTAGTACAAACATATATTTTACACTAAAAGAGGGGGAGCTCGCCTAAGTTACACAATAGGTAACCTAATTTGGTATCAAATTCGTTATCTACAAAATTCAAATCCAAGATCTCTCAATTACAAGTAAAGAAAAATATCATCAGACCGTAGTCTGTAGTAGTCATAGTATCTTGGAACTGGATCCCCTCCGGATCCAATAAAACTGAGCCTGCTGAGCAGGCGATCCGGTTGTTGAAATTTAATCAAATGGCTACAAATAGAGGGCCTTCTAAAAGTTATAATAATTGTAGCCGTTGGATCAAATTTCAACAGTTCGGATCGCCTACCCAATAGGCTTAGTATATATGGATCTGGTTCCTAGTATTTTAACAATTAAATAGGGAACTGTTATTAGCACTCTACAAATCTCATTCTCACTCCTCACAAATGTATTTTTCTTTCTAAATATAAAAAATTTAAAGTACAAAATGAAATTTATAGAATGCCAATAACAATTCCTATTAAATATGAGAAAATATAAAGCATTCATCGTTACGTAAATGTCGGTACAATCCCCGAGTTTGTTAGTTGAGTGCCACATTGACTGAAAAAATCAAATCTTTTTACTACAAATATTCTAAAAATCCACGTGTCAACGATCCATCACTCTGTAAGTGAACTTTGCAACTTCACATCAGCATCTCGGCGGCGCCTGAGGAAGTCCACAGCCAAATTACGGCTTTCTCACTTTACCTCTCCGGTGTTCTGGGTCGTTTCCAAATGGGGAAGTTTTGGGGTGTATTGTGGGATGCTATGGAGGCTTACAAGAAATGGGTTAGGGACAACCAAGACTTTGTCCACTCATTGGAGTCCCTGGCCAATGTGAGCTGCTCTCTCAATTTCCCTACTTTATTTCTTGATTATCATCAAATTACGTGACTTAATCGGCATATTTTGCGTTTTCTTTTCTCGTTAATTGGATTTTTTATGCTATTTGGTTAACTGGGTTTTCAATGATATTGGAAATGGTGAAACCTGACAGTTTATTTCTTCCTTTTCCATAACCACATGTGAATGTGAATTTGTGAATGCTTCCAATTATGACGTTTGTACAGTAAAACGAGGACACATTGTTAGTGGGGAATGAGGGAAGTATTATCCATTCCCATATATACTTTAATACCAATCCACACTTATGGGAATACTATTTGGATTTTCGGGGGTTAATATGTAGCTCATACATAAGAAATTCACTCACATTGTTTTTTATGGTTAATTGTACTATGTCTCCTTTTGGTTTTCTTCTTGTTCTTTTTTAATCAACAACGCTAGCTCATAATTTGTGAAAATTCATGGAATGATTGGCCTTAAGTTGTGTTTTGCAAATTTTTGTTATCTTAACTGGATTTTGGTTACCCTGTATAGGAATTCACGTGGCTTCTACCTGGACGGTTTTCTGAATCGGAGATAGGACCAGAAGCAGGTTTTTTGAAATTTTGGTAACATTTGGCTACTTCTTGTTGTAGCTTTAAACATTGGCAGGGATTCTTTGGTTTTTCTTAGTAATTATATACATCTCTCTGGAGTAATTGTACAATGTATAAAAGTAAGTTTGGTTGCTCGGAAAGTTATCAAAACGAGAAAAGTAAAATTGGAGTTGTCCATAATCTCTTGGCTTTGTGTTTCTGAATAACAAAGTATCATCGTTCATCACAGCATGTTTAATTTATCCAAAATGTACCTTTTCAATGCTAATCTTCTATTTAATATGATCTTCTGCAGTAACTACTCTCCTGGGAATAATAACCGCTATCAATGAACATATAATCAACATAGAACCTCCTTCAGTGCATGATGGCGCTGCCGAGGGTTATTCTTTTCCGTATGCATTGTGTATATCTGCACTAAGGTATTTGGAAACGTTGGTTGAAGTAGTAGCTCAAGAGTATCTTGGTGATGAGAAGAAATGGAATTTCATTGCTGTTATGGAGGCTATGAAGTGAGGACCATTTGTTTTCTGCCATAAGTCACTCATTTGTCAAGCATTTATTGTCTTTAGGCTTCTAGTTATCGCCTCATTGTGGATTTCATTATTTTACAGTGCGCTGGCTAGGTTAGCTTTGTTCCGGAACAGTGGATATAAGATGCTTCTGCATGGAGGAGAGACACTAAATGATGAAACCGATTTGGAAGCTTCAACTCCTCAAAGTAAAATTGGCGGATTTATGAGGCCTGGAGAGCAGCTTGGGCCTGGTTACTTAAGCAATAATAATCATCGACAGGGCGCATTGAATTCAGAAGGAAGAGCATTATCTGCATTGAGTGGGTTTGGAGAAAATCCTAGGATGGTTTCAGAACCAGTGTGGTTGCAAAGGGTTCAACACCAGCACACGATTATGGAGCCTCCAAGTAACTATTCAATTCATATAAAATTTATTTACTGGTTAGGGTATGTACTTACGAGTTATTTTAGTTTCTATTGATGTAGATGTTGTTTTCATACAGCTCCAGTGGTTGAGAGGTTAACCCTGTCCACATTATGGTCTGAAAAAGATCTTCATGGGGCGTTTTACGTTTTTGGGGAAGTGCTATTTATAACAAGGCCACTGATCTATGTTTTATTTATTCGAAAATGTGGAATTCGCTCATGGATTCCTTGGCTTCTTTCTCTGGCTATGGACTTCACTGGGATGCGCATTCTTACCCGAATTACTTCATCCAGGGGTGGTACAAAAGCGCCACAGTTTCTTCTCTCTGTCTCTGAAAAGGATGAGGTTATGGTTTCCAAAACCTTGAACCTGTCTTATTTAAGCAAGTGTTTTGTTTGAAATTAGTCCCGTTGTCAATATTTAGTCTGTCACCGTAGTTGGCGCTGAATAGCTCTTTGTATTTGGCATGGATTCAGGTTAGAAGACGAAAGCTGTTATGGGCACTTTACGCGATGAGAGATCCATTTTATACCAGGTAAGGTAATGCTGAATAGGAAGTCAATGCTGTGTTTAGTTCCTTCCATTTTCTCCTTTGACATTTATACACTTATACACTTATTCAACTACTCATATTCTCGACCCCTCCGGCACCAAGAAAACTGAGACTCATAGCTAACCAAACAAAACGAAAAACATTCCCAGTTTCGTGAGTTCCATAACCAGATAGATTAACAATATGAGATTCATACATTTTCCTTCCCTTTGATTTCCACCGGGTTTCTCGGTAACCAAACACAGCCTCAGGAGACGTCGTTTCCGAACCAAATACTTAATTGAAAAGCTGTTGTCACATAATTTGATTACTTCAACATTTAATCGCTGATTGTATTTTCCTCTGCAGATTCATAAGTAGCCAAGAAGAAAGCAAAAGTGGAGCAAAAACCTCAAGCTTCTTCTCTAACAAGTACAGTTTCTTTAGTCAGCGTTTGTAAGAAGGGTCGTTGGGTTGTCGTCATTTGGAGCCCATCAGTGGTGCCATGATTGGACGCTTGCAGTTAACTTTGAGTCATCTCGCTTACAAGTGGAAAAAAATATTATTAGACTGATACACTAGTAGCATATTTAACCGTGCGGTTATAGGCGTTTGCATAGTTTTACATGGAACTCTCTCTTCTTTTTTATAATCTCCTCACATTTATTAATCCGATTTTCATCCTTCCAATTCCATATTGAATACCACCTTAATGAATACCAGGTGTTGGTTTAGTATTTTAATACCGTCTTTAGATTAGGTACGTTATTATGATTATACATTCTCTACTATTATCATATTCAAGGATGAGTAATCATACATTCTTAGTTATCCAGCGACCAAAAGAACATTTTGGGTGTGTATAGTTTTTTTACTTGCTACATATGGAAATTTCACGTTAATGTTTTTATGTCTACTTTATTATGTAATTCAATGATACAATCAGTCTAATTTTAAAGTCCAATCAAGAATCATCATTTAAAATAAGAGGTCTTAAATTTGACTCTTGTATATAAAGAGCGTATTGCTAACTTATTATGAATCATTATCGTGTGACTTGACACAAATCTACTACCTTTAATGCAAATACATTGCAAGCATGTGCTCCGACTTAACAAAAGTTTGGACTCTGTTCTTCGTAATTTAGAAAAAATTAGTTTAATCATCGTATCTTTTTGTGAATGTATTGCTGTATAAAACAAGAACAATAAGGCATCACCGCCCCTTTTTGTTTCCGTCTGATTTTCCTAGATCCTATGGTCCTATCCCTCACATAAACACTTTGGGATGAGCAATACCCATATCCAATTTCTTTGATCATCTGCTATGCCACCTCATAAAATTCTCTCACTATCCCTAATATCTCAACATCTCATCCATTGAAGCGGCAAAAGACACCAGATCTCCACCGTCCACTACTTTGAACCCCATCGGCATCACAAATCTGACAAAATCAACGGTCCGCTTTAAATACCATTGTCCAGTACAGAACCGAAGAGACACCCCTCACCTAACCGTCACTCTCGCCCTTCCGCACCATCAGCAATTCAGCAGCCGAGGAAGTCCACAGCCAAATTACCCTAAAGGGCCTCTCTCTTTGCCTCTCTGGAATTCTGGGTCTTCCCCAAATCGCACAGAAACTGAGTAGGAGGGTTTTCTGAGGGAAGTTTCTGGCTGTGTTGCTGGGAAAAGGCAGGCAGAGTCTTTGAATCTATGGAGGCTTATAAGAAATGGGTTCGGGAGAACAAGGACTACGTGCACTCCTTGGAATCTCTGGCAAATGTGAGCTCTCTCAATTTCTCTAAATTTTGTTACTTCATTTGTTGATGATTATCAAGTTATATGATATTTTGTGCTTTTTTTTTAGGTTTACTCGATTTTTTTATGCTATTTATGTAAATGGGTTTCCAATGAACTTAGAAATCGTGGCTTCTGATAAAAAAAAAATAGCAATTTTAGTGTTTTAACTTTGAATTAGAGATAGTGTTAGCTGATATAGCTGTTGAAGGTTTATTTCTTCCTTTTTGATAAAGACATATGGCTGTTAACAATTGCCATCTATTACCGTATAATCATATATATATATAGACACACACACACTCTGTGTATGTTTTGCTGATGCAATTGACATATATACTTTGGAAGCAGTATATATGGTTGTACTTTTCGGGTTTCGGATTAAGAAATACACTCAAGGTTGCATTTATGTTGTGTGGTTAATTTTCTGTCAGTTCCTTTTCGGTTTTCTTCTTCTTTATTAGCAATCGTAACTCATAATTGGCGAAAATGCATGGAATGATTGGCCTTCAATTGTGTTTTATCGTCTATTTTTGTTATCTTAACTGGATGGTGAAAACTTTGTACAGGGATTCACGTGGCTTGTACCTGAACGGTTTTCTGAATCAGAGATAGGACCAGAAGCAGGTTTTTTGAAATTTTGGTAACATTTGGCTACTTCTTGTTATAGCTTAGAAGTTGGCAGGAATCCTTTTGTGTCTGTTAGTGATTATGCGGTTCTCTCTGGAGTAATCCTACACTTTAGAAAAGTAATTTGGTCGATAAGAAATAAACGAAAGTTATCAAAATTAAAACAAAAGATTCGAAATGTACATTTAAAAGGTTTCATACCTTAAAATTGGAATAGCATGTTCAATTTGTCCAATTTTCAATTGAATAGTTTTATATCTTAAACCGATTTGTAAGTCTCTTTCCCGCTGCATATTTCTGTGAATATATGTATCATGCAATACAGGAATTGGTAATCTTTTCTTAATATGTTTTCTGCAGTAACTACTCTCTTGGGAATAATAAGTGCTATCAATGAACATATAATCAACACATCTCCTACTTCAATGCATGTTGGCTCTACTGAGGATTATTCTTTCCCATATGCATTGTGCATATCTGCACTAAAGGATTTGGAAACGTTGGTTGAAGTTGTGGCTCAGCAGTATTTCGGTGATGAGAAAAAATGGAATTTCATTGCTATTATGGAAGCTACAAAGTAAGGACTATTTATTATATTTATAAGTCAGTCGTTTTTCAAGAATTTATTGTATGCAGGATTCTGTTTATTGCCTCATTGTGGATTTCATTATTCATCAGGGTGCTAGTTAGGTTAGCTTTGTTCCGGAACAATGGATATAAGATGCTTTTGCATGGAGGAGAGACACCAAATGATGAAATGCATGTGGAAGCTTCAACTCCTCAACGTAACATGGTTAGTTTTACGAAACCTGGAGGGCAGCTTGGGCCTGGTTACTTAAGAAATAATCATGGCCAGGACCCATGGAATTTAGAAGGAAGGGCACTATCTGCATTGACTAGGTTTGGAGAAAATGCCAGGATGGTTTCAGAACCAGTATGGTTACGTAGGGTTCAACACCAGCAAGCAATTATGGAGCCTCCAAGTAACTATTCAGATTAAATTTATTTATTGGTTACGGTATGTAAGTACAAGTTATATGCGTTTTTATTTATATAGATGTTGTATCTTACAGCTCCAGTGGTTGAGAAGTTGACCCTGTCCACCTTATTGTCCGAGAAAGGTCTTCAAGGGGCGTTTTATATTTTTGGGGAGACTCTATTTATAACTAGACCACTCATCTATGTTTTATTTATTCGGAAGTATGGAATTAGCTCATGGATTCCTTGGTTCCTTTCTCTGGCTGTTGACATCACTGGGATGGGCTTGCTTTCACGAATTACATCATCCAGAGGTGGTACAAAAGAGCAGCAGTTTCATCTTTCTGTCTCTGAAAAGAATGAGGTTAGGGTTTCCAAAATTCTTGCCTTCTCTGTTCTGATAACCTGTCTTATCTAGCTTTGTCTTTGAAAATTGGTGCTGAATAGCTATTTATTTTATGGCATGGATTCAGCTTAAAAGACGAAAGTTGTTGTGGGCACTTTACCTCATGAGAGATCCTTTTTTTAGCAAGTATACCAGGTAATGCTGAATTTCAGAGTGTAGTTATTAGTTACGACTGACACTTGCCACCCTTCAACTACGAACTCCACCACCTGGTTTTTCACCCTCTCAATATTTTTTCCATGGAAAAACACTTGATTCAGCCGGCTACTAACATTACTAAAGTAGCAATATCCCTAATTTCTAATACTTTTGTTTGTGAGTGATTGCAGTGTCCATGAAGAGTTTTGACGGGTTGCTATGCTATGCTACTACTATGAGTTAAATTTAATGATAGTTTGCAGGCTTTTCTAAGGAAGAATAACTAATGTCTTCTGTTATTTTGGTTGTCATATATTTCAGGCAAAAACTCGAAAGCACCGAGAAAGTTTTGGAACCAGTACCTATTGTTGGGTTTCTTACAGGTTGGTTTACATTCCCTTCTCTTTTTTTCCCTCACATTTTATGTTGTCCGGCTACTTTTACAAGCTGAGTTTTTGATTTATTCATGAGCAAATCCTTGAACAACAAAATCTTTGGTTTGTGCAGGCAAACTTGTTGAGCTTCTTATAGGAGCTCAGACAAGGTATACTTACATGTCGGGATCATAAGATGGATACCACGATGAGTTATGCTTTTTAGTGTTTGACATCTCGTGGGCAAAGGTATATTTTGACGTGTTTCTCAAATACTGACGAATGTGTCCCATGGCTGTATCGAGTTTGTTAGGAAAGGTTCAATGTTGTCTTTAGCAACTAAATTTTTTTTATAGAATTTGTGGAAATTCTGCTGATGAAACTCGCAAGGAACACACGTATGTACAATATACCTGAGTTCAAAGGGCTCAAATCAAGATGTACGCATGTAATAAGGCTTGATTGAGAGTTTTCACGGAGATTGTACGTTGGTTGTACTTGGCATTGCAAACTTGTGCACATTCGCTGCTCTTATTTTTGATAGCTAGCGCTCTCTTTATTGTCGATGCATGGTTCATTGCTTTAAGCATATAGCCTTGTTCGCATCACAGCCCCTCTAAAGTACAATTACACGCACATTTGAATTCAAATGCCGTCGATTTATTGCTCCATCGATCACAACCCACACTATAAGCCAGGTCCTTGTGGGTAGGAAAGGAACCATCTCAGGTCCCTGAGGACAAAATCTTTCTCTTTCTTTCTCATTGTTTTTCCTCTTGTTCTTGCTCTCCTCTCTTACGCCGGAAAAGGACGCAAGGGGAATCCGGGGACCTCACAAGCTCTTAAATCAGAGGTCGGCAACACAAGATCTGTTTGGGTTCCATGTTGAAATAAGAGCTTGCGAGACAGGGAAGCAGAGAGAGAGAAGAGGGAGAGAAGAGATTGGGGTTCGCCGGCGGGAATTGAGGTGGGTGGTTGATGGTGTTAAGAACATTGGTTTGGAACTCCAGGTCACCTAGAGCACATAGGCTTGTGATATTTATGGCAAACATTCTACAGCAAGTCCATCAAAGTTTCCAAGGTCCTCAAACAATGGCATGCGTCTTGACTCTTAGATCAGAGATGCACTTTTAAGCATTGACTGGGAAAAACATAAAACATTAAACCAAGAACGAAATCACAGAGAGAAAACGATAAACCCACTAATCCAAAAGAAAACCCTGCCTACGAATGCGATATAGTTGAAAAGTTGTAGCTGACTGCTTAACATATCCAATCCACGATCAGACACTTAAGCAGCCGAATGCTTTACAAAAAATATACCGGCTCAGTTGAATTACCAAATTACAAAGTAAAAACATAGGCTTGACTAAGGATAGACACGAGGGGATGAGACCCTCATTGACACTGCCAGCGGAGAAAGTGCACAGAACATTCAACCTGCCACATTAGTCTAGTGACCGTACTTCTGAAACTCCCACTCGCTGTTATCTGATTAACAAGAAAACCACCACAAAAGTTAGGAAAGAAGGCACTGTCGTCCCATACAGACGGTCAAAGATCTAATATAAGAACAGGAAGGGGACGAGTGAGGCAAAAATCTTACCCAAGGGGCACACTTGTCGGGTCTTGAGCCATCGGCTAATGCAGTGGAAGTGGAATGCATGGTTACAAACCCCTACAGAGATAAGAAAATGTCAAGGAAGAAGTTTAGACAAATGTGCACCACATGCTTAATGATAAATACAATAAATTTCTGATCTACTATTTTCAGAACAAGAAATGATCACCGAAGTGCCCGTACAAGAAATCCATCACTACAAACACCCATTTCAAGCATTAACCAGTGGGCTCACAGATGACATCATAGGCCAGCTTCAAACAAATGTCTTAGAGGGAACGAATTGTGTTGTGGTCAAAAAGATAGTAAACAAAAATTGATTAATCGGAAAAGATACAATTACTTGATGCCCCGCCCAACAAAGAGAAGCAAGGAAAACGGAAGAAAAATCCATGGACTGACCCCATCGTCTCCACACACCATAGGAACAACAATTTTGTCTTCTCCATCTTACAATATCTCTAGATTCAATAACGCTGACAACAGCTTTGAAGGCACATGCATATAAATAAATTCACACATGCTAATGCTAGATAATTATGCAGTACAGCTCCGCAACACCACTTCAAGAAACTCTTTCCCTTTGATTAGACAAGAATCTTCCTTTCAATAACACTAGGAGTTTCCGTGTTTGTTTCTTTATATCTAAGCACCTCAGAAAAGCACTAAACACATCAAGAAAAGTCTCAACCATCATCTTTGCATGATCATGATGATCTTATGAGCAGAGCTCTTATCCTTCCCTATTAGACTTCAACTATAAAGAATACAAAGAAGATGCTTCCCAATTTTGCAGAATGTATTGGGGTAGAAAACATGGGGAAAACATAAGAAACAAATTAGATATCCGTAAAAATGACGAAGTTTTAATAATTGAAATATTAAATAATAGTGAACTTATAAGATACTTATCAATGGTGACATATCATATATACACTCTATGTAAACTGTGCTGAATCAGAATCTATATCAAGGGCATATACATTAACTTAAGAAAAACAAAATCAGAACCCGGAGTTAAACTACTAGCTATACATTAACTTAAGAAAACTAGGGTTTGAAAGCAAAAACTTACCCCAAGCAACCGTGCACTCCTCACTTGTGGCACTAGCCTGGTTTGCTTGGCACTCAATGCCTATTCACGACGAAACAGAAAATAACAATCAATAAATAAAGACTGGCATCAAGACAATAAATTTGAACAATGAAAAAGTAAGGTAAAAGACTCACAGAGATCCATGATATGGTTCCTGCAAATGGCACAGTTATCAACCACAATATCTGCCCACAAGAAGGCGTAACAACATCAGTGACCTACTTAAACACCAAATTAATCGAAATTCTCCAAATAAACCAGAGGAACTAGGGTTAAGGTTTAGAGTGGTTACCCCAAGCCCAGAGAGCTACTGCATTCCACTTCTTAATCTCAAATCGCTTGGGCTTTTTGGTCGACGAAGGACCTGCACTGCTCGAACCCTCGCCTGCCGGAATCATCGGAACGTCTGAGTCTAGTGTTGCCATTGCTTCCCTGCGAAGTCAGAAAAACAAAAACCTCAAAATCCATCGTCTTACACCAAATATCTACCAAAATTGTCACGAAAAAAAAAAAAAAAAAAAAAAAACCCAAACAAAAATTAAATTTATAAAAATCAGTAATATTTCCATGTTAGCCCCAAAATTAAGAAAATCACAGAAGTAAATTCCATTTAAGCTTACTTGCAGATCGGCAACAATAAATTACACTATAAACTTCCGGAATATCAAATCATGTATAACACTAAAAATCGATAGAGAAAGATATCGAAGAAATTACAAGAAACCAGAAACGACCCAAAACTAAGAAAATCGAAATCTTCCAGCACCTAAAAATAAAAACCCAAAACTGGGTTAAACTTTAATTGAGATTAAAATAGATAAGAATCCGAACAAACAAAAAATTGATGGAAAATTGAAAAACCCTAAAAAAAAATTAAAAAAAAAATTAAAAAAAAAAAAAAAAACTGACGTACCTAAAGAATTGCGATCGTGAGCGGCCGCGAAGCTTTTCTTCTCTCGCTCTAGAGAAAGAATCGGAGAGTTTTTCTTGGAATGAAAGACGAGGGAGAGTGAGGGGCGTGGATTATAAATCGGCGCGGGTTTTTGGAGTTGGGTCGGGTTTGTTTTGGTTGCTTTCGGATCTTGTGAGAATACTTTATGTTGACATCCTGTTTGAGAAGTTACAAAAATTTTGACCAAAAAAAAAAAGTTGCAACACAATGTTGTCATTCCGACTTGTCTTATGAGTAAATTGTAAATTGTAAATATGCCCCTGAAGTTTAGTGGTTGTTTTATTTTGGTTCTCAATTTTTCTTTCCATCACAAAAGTCTCTAATAAAAACAATAATGATGTCATTTACAAAAGTTTAGGACTAATTCACTTCGGCATATTTGATGTTTGGAAATGGACTATGGTGTTGATTACGTCATTGAAGAAACTTTTTGGACTGTATCATAGTGTGAAAATGCAACCTATGGAGAGAGACACAGAGAAGGCTAACATCTGCGTGTCTCAAATGAGATGGAAGAAGAGATGATTCAGGTTCTAAGCTACAATTTGTTTATTGCAATATGCATATCATTGCAATATCGAAACAAAAACTTAGATTGATAAAGTGATACACATATAACAAAATACTTGATTATATAATCTAATGAAATCGGTTATAATCGATTTTTTGAATTTAAATTAGTTTTTCTAGTTAGGTCAATTCAGAAAATAAGTCCAAATTGAACCAATTGATTTGGTTTGGTTGTTTTTGTATGTTCTTCCAAAGTAATGCATTACATTTCAGTAAGTAGATTTTTGGGCATTTTAAGTCAAAGTAGAGAAATTACTAAATGCTGTGCAAAATGTGGTCAAGTGTTACTTGATTTAGTGATTTTGGTTAAAGTAGGGAAATTACTAAAATGCCTTGCAAGTCTGAATTTTTTTCTTTTTTATCATGTAGTGTATTATAGTTATGCCAAGAAATTTATACGAGGCCACAATCAAAGATATGTTCATATCCCATTCCACAAGGTATCATCATATACGTCATGTATATCATCAATCAATCAGTTAAGCCAAAATGGCGACAAAAATGAAGGGGTTGAAGTCATCGAGAGGCAAACAGATAAACCATCATTCCTCGACTACTCATCGCCTTAGAAGCAATAAGCTCTTGGTTTTCAACCAGATTGTTGTATATAGGTTCATAACAGTAATTAGAAAGCTTGTAGATTAACAACTAAGGCGAAAAGAAAGAAATAGAAATTTAAGAAGGAAGAAAACTGATTCCATTCAATACAACTCAGAGTAATAACACAGTTATCCCTTCTGCCTATTTATAGTAATGAGGTAGCTTAATAAGTAAGCTAACCTCCTAACTAACTATATCTCTAGGATCATGACACATGTCATTACATCTTAACAACCATAACTAATGCCACATTCGCACTACATATCATATGATAGCTCAATATCCCCCCCCCCCCTCAATCTCAACCGGGGAATCCAAGGTTGAGATTGGTACAATGATGCAGAAACAACCATAAAGCCCTTTGGCAAAGATATCAGCAACCTGATATGTGGTCGAAATATAATCAACCTGCAAATCACCCTTTTGAACTTGCTAACGCACAAAATGAAAATTTGTGTCTAAATGTTTTATCTTAGTATGAAAAACCGGATTAGAACATAAGGCTAGAGCATGCAGAATGGGAGGTGTGGGTAGAAACACTTACGAATCCTTCAAGAGTAATCGTAACCAAGCAACTTCAGATGCAACCTGAGCTAGAGCCTTATATTCTGCTTCAGTAAAACTTCGAAACACACTTTCTTTTTTCTTAGATTGCCATGACACAAGATTGGGACTAAGAAAAATAACAAATCCAGTTGTAGAATGTTTGGTAGTAATATCATAGGCCCAATCTGCATCATTGAATGCCAAGAACTCCATATTGTGAGCAGCAGAATAAGTGAGACCACATTCAACAGTGCCTTGTAGATAATGCAAAATCCTCTTTACCAAAGTAAAATGAAGCTCAAAGGGATTTGACATAAATTAAACCCTCTTTTTATCAATTGTAGTATAAGTATAAGTAGGGATCGTTCTGGACCGGGGATTAGGAGGGATTGTTAATCACTTGGAAACTGACTCAAAAACGTAAAAACAATATAAAACACTAAACTAGACTCAAAGAATGTGAAACTAAACGTTAAAACACTAAGACAAATCAAAAGACTCAAAATGCTTTAAAAATACAAACTAAATTGATTTCTAACTAAATTGAACAATAAAGTAAAGGGGGATTGAGTTTTGGACGGAATTAAACTAAATGAACAAATTGCAATTAAAACATAATGTAAATATGAAATTGATGAAATGAAATGAATGGATGCTAACCAAGGGGTTCATCTCCACACATGTTACGCTTTGCATAATAAAAAGATTTCTAATTGCATTTCAATAAACCATGAATTCTTAACGCTCCGGGTTAATTAGGTCCGCTTAAATTAACCGTCAAGTTTTCCTTAAGTTAATGAATTGGATGATTGCATACGACAACCCAAAGCATTCCTCACAAGTTCCCTACATGAATTGCATAATAGAGATACAAGCAAGAATCATTAAGCAACGTGAAAACTATAAGTGTTGACGAGGCATTCGTTACTATGATGAGCATGAAACTCGTGCCAAGAATTCATTTAACGCGATTGTTTATAAGCAACCTCCACTACTTGTGAATATAAGTTCATAACGATTAGGTGAAATTCACTTATATTCTAGCGTCATATTTATGCATGAAAATTAAGCGCGCATTCTTAATAAACTTTCATAAATAAGTTATCAATCAAACGGTTAAACAAATTGAATTCACAACTTATGAAATGTAATTAAAAGTACTCAAATCATATTGCAAGCATAAACATATATTTCGAATCACCCCCTAGCTAAGGGGGGTTTAGTTCCTCATACAAAACAAAGAGAATTGAAATTAAACATTGAAATCAAAGAAACGCCTAAACATTCCAACAACTCAAACTTGAATTGTATGAACGTTTAGGCACTCTTCTCTTCCTCTTCGTTGTAGCATAAGGTCTAGGGATAGTTGGTTGGGGGAATGGAAGTGTGGAATTATGGAAATGGAGGAAATAGAGGAAAAGTAGACGGGGAACCCAAAAACAACAACAAGGTTGCTGTTTTTGTGTTTGTGTTGTGTATGAAAAATATGAGATGATTTGGTGAATGGAATGCAAGGGTATTTATAGGAGGAGTGGAGATGTATATGGCTATTTGTTTAATGTGTTTGTGTAAATGTGTGTGAATGCATGTGTGTTAGGTGTAAATGTGTGTGAATGCATGTAAATGTGTGTGAATGTATGTAAATGTGTATGAATGTATGTAAATGTGTGTGAATGCATGTAAATGTGTGTGAATGTGTGTGAATGCATGTAAATGTGTGTGAATGCATGTAAATGTGTGTGAATGCATGGCAAAGGGCTTTGTTTATGTGTTGGCATGGGAATTTCTGGTTCTAAGTCTTTGTTTGATTGGGCTAGGTCCTTTGTTTTATGTTCTAAAGTGCACACAAAGCTTTAATTTTGTCCAACACTTTGGCTCCAAGCATAAGCTATCCATTCTTGGCCCAAAAATGCTCCAAAAGGCTCCAAAATGCACTTCTTTGCTCCTTTAGCCCTTAGAACCTGAAATCATACGAAAATGACTTAAAACACTTAAAGAACTAAGAAACAACAACATAAATGCACGAAAACAAGCTAAGTAAGTCGCCTAAATATGCTCCTATCAGATTCTCCCACACTTAGCTTTTGCTAGTCCTCTAGCAAAACAAAACGATAACATACAAACAAAACGACACTAAACAAGTAAAACACAACTTAAACCTTCCAACAATCGTCTTAGGGATTTCCAATGCACATGACATGTTAAAAATCATCATTCCCACAAATTTTAGTCATCTTCACACTTAAGTACATTCTTAATCATCGTCACCACATACTATTTCACAATTAAGCATTTAAAACCATGTTTTGAATGTAGTAACATGCCTTAGAGAATTTGCTCAATTCCTTACAAGATATGCACTCGATTTTCACTCAGATTTTCTGACTACACACCCTACATTAAGTATATGTGAGAAGATTGATGTAAATATGAAACTAAACACTCACATATGTATATCACAAAGAAAGCAATTTCTGGAGTTAATAAGCATGTTTAGATATGATCTCATGAATGGAATGCTACTACTTAGACGCGAGAACCAGTGACACCATATGCTCATACCAAGTTCAAATTCCACAAATTGAAACACATAACACTCAAGATTGAAGTCACGGGTTGTAATGGGGTTCGAGGCGTGTGGATAACAATGAAGGGATATGGAAAACAAAGGTTCTTAAAGAAATAGTGAGCAAGGCAATTGATCAATTTAGAATTCTCTTTTGAATGAAAACATCAACTTTTGAACAAAAAGGGAGAATTTAGACAATTTAGGGCCAGAATTGGTGTTTTGAACCCTTTATTCAATCACTCATTCTTTCATTTTTTTCAAGCTCTTTTTTTTTTCTTTCTTTCTTTTCTTTTTTTATTTTTCTTTTCTTTTAAATCTCAAAACATACTTAAGAACAAGCATTCATTCCCCCACACTCATTTTCTTGCATAATGTAACTCAAAAGGAATTCATTTAAGTCATGCTCACTATCTTTTAAGAACAAGGGTGTGGATTGTCCTAAACTAGGCTAGGTGAGGAAAATGTGGGTTAACAAAGAATAAAGGCTAAACAAAGCTCAACGGGGGTAAAACTTACAACAAATACGAAATATGGGAAGTAAGGCTATTTGGCTATGGTGGTGGTCACTACACAACTTCTTCTTGAATATGTGTTATGCAAATCAATAACATGCTTTGAATGAAATGGGCATGAGTTCTAGCATTTGGAACTATATGATGAAACGCCTTCTAAGTAGTAACCAAGCAAAGAATAATGAGATCATGCAACGACTTTAGAAAACAAGAAATCACAGATTATACTCTCCAAAGAACGTTATAGGCTCAAGTCTCTCAGGGTTGTAGCGTTTGTTTGAGTTCCTTCCTTCAAACATGTTACAAAAATGAATTTTTTTCTTTTATGATTGCATGTGAAGTCATACATTATAACCATAACCAAGCATATACCAAGAGTAAATCAAACTTTTCTCTATGTTTATAACTCTTTTTCACAGTCATGCACTTACAAACCAAATCCTCATCATTTTGTTGGAAGGTGACCTACGACCCAAACACACAAAAACAACTTTAAAACAACTCTTTTTGGGTTTTTCAAAACAATTTTTCAAATTTTTATGGGATTTTCGAATTTTTAAGTCAAAACACACTAAAATAGTTTAAAAACATTTTAAAACAGCAAGGAACAACACTTGAAGTTATGGGTGATAAAATCCAACGAATTTGCATCAACATACTTAGTTATCCCCCTCACACTTAAATCAAACATTGTCCTCAATGTTTTAAGCTTAAAACACACCAAACAAAAGAAAACATATAAAACAGTAACTAAACATACTAAACATGGCAGAATGTATCTAACAAAGAGAAGAGTTTTAGAGATGCAAATCTGGTTATGGAGTGTAAATTCCATCTTCTCCTTGGTGATTGCAGTGAGGCTTCATCTTGAGTGATTCCACAGGCTTACTCTTGAACTGCGCTGCTCCCATCGTTGATTTTCCTTTGTGCTACTCTTGAACTGGGCCGCAGGCTTCCTTTGGTCTCCCCCGAAGGTCTGAGCTTCCTCCTCTTATCTGTTTCTTTGTTCAATCTCTCCAATTCGTATTGAAGAGGGTTAGAGGATAGCTCAGCATATGCTTGTCTCCTCATGCTTCAATGTATCATTTTCCTTTGCCTTACTTGCTCCCCTTTGCAGAAGCGGTCCCTTCTCTGGAAGTGTATCAACCGTTGAAGATGACTACTCGAGAGCAACGCTAGGTAAGCAACCAGGGAATAGAGTCCAGGTAGACTCCAAGTGCCGGCTGATTGCTTCTTTCACTTTGCCATGCAAGTAATATCAAGGGCAAAGGAAAAGATAGGGAAAGAGCATGATATAAGATACCTTTGCTTTCGCTCTTGATGATATGAGATACCTTTGTTTTCGAAAAAAACGGTGAAAGAATCAGCACATGTATTTGTTGTGCTGCTTCCTCCTGGGTCATCTGTACTCCAAGCATCTGGTATCATCTTTGGGGAAGAAGAAAAAATTGAGTATTTCGAAAGGTTTTGCTGGGAGTGCGCCCTCAGAGGTGAGAAAGAGTTGGGCATTTTCTTCAGTTCTGTCTTGCCATAAAAGATGAAGGTCGACATATATAGGGAATTCAATAGAAAGTGGTGGTACTGTTCTTTTACCGTTGTCGACAAACGTTTTTATCCCGCAAATCCGGCTTTTTGAAATAGTGACGACTCTTCGATCTTTGAATGCGCCTCTTTGATTTCTGAGCAGGCGCCCCTTCGATTTCTGAGCGATGCCCTTTCGCTTTCTGAACGACACGTAGTAGTGCGGATGCGGCTCTGTCAGAGATCTTTTGACAAGTGGCACGCGTTTTCTGCAAAGCTGGGAGCTTTCGACAAAGATGGCACGCGCTTTCTGAAAAGCTTGGATTGCGTCTGAAGAGCTGGCGATCTTTATGCCAGAAAATCCAGTTTTGAAGAGCGGTGTCTCTTCAATTCTGAATTGGTGATTGTGTCGCCTATCCTTTAATAGAGGTGATCGATCACCTCTATCTGCACACTTTAATAGAGCAATATCTCTCCGAGGACGTAGGCAGGTTTTTGCCGAACCTCGTAAATTTCTCGGTGTCTTTATTTCTTGTATTTTAAACTATTCAACTGTGGGTTTGTATGTTGGTGAGATAATCAGCCAAGGCACAACAGTTTTTACGTTCAATGACTTAAGGAGCCAAGGATGGCTCACATACCTAGAGAAATCAACACGTATCCATGGCTATAAGTTTGCGAATAACTAAACGTATGGGAGTGAGATGCAAACTGGAAACAAATATGATGATGTTGCTTATTTTGGTGATATAAGATCTGAAGAAAAATCTAGCAGGCCTTTCTCCCTATCTAATTCAAGCATTGGCAGTGATGACTAGGAAGCTGTTTTAAGATGGAGTGATGATATTTCTTATTTGGGAGATAAGAGGAGTGGAGAACAATCTATCTGGTCTTCCTCTCATCCTCATTCAAGAAATTTTAGTAATGATCATAATTTTAAACTTATTCAACATATTATTTCAAAATTGTTTTGTTACTTATGTTTTAATTAATAATCATTTAATGTAGACATCTAATTTCTTCTATTTCTTAGGAAAGATCATCTATAAGTTTGCAAATAACTAAAATATCTATACGTTTTCTGCAAAATTTAGGTTAACATTATTGACAAATTCATGGAATATGATATTATCAAAATTAAAAACCAAGAAAAATAAAATTCTTACCATTTCATCAACCAATATAAGACCGCCAAATGTATTATCCTTTCCTATAATTTTAGGTCTCCAAATTTTGCACACACAGACTCTAATCTTCTTATTCGACTGAAAAGGTAATAAACTTCAGATATGATCTATCTTCATTCCGCCACAAAACTGCAAGCAAATATACATGGGATTAGAATAGAAGTGTAGAAATGTATGCAAATTATGCACACAAATAATCTTTCCATAACACTATAAATATTGATAATCCTAACAGAAGAAAGCAAAATAACATGTTTTATCTAAACCATAGATTTCTTCCTGTCAATATGTTTACATGGTTTTCTTCCTATTTGTAAGGTTACTAACTCATACCGTGTACAAAAACTAATCACATAAGATATGACTTGAAAATATAATAATATTTAGATGAAAGTCACGCGCCTACTTAAACACATAAAGCGTCAAACGCATTAACATGCAAAAAATTTAGGGAAGGAACAGCAACACAAATAATCTTCAGAGAACACATCAAATACAGATAATGCTAACCAAAGACTGCAAACTAACATGTTCCACCTAAAAAGGATCCCATAGTCTTCTTCCTCTCATTATGTTCACTAACTCATATCGTGTGTGGTACAAACACGAGTACCACACACGACTAATCGCATAAGATATGACTTGAAAATATAATAATATTCAGATAAAAAGCAACCAGGTTCCGATCACAGTTATATGCCAAACAAAACATCATTCAAGAGCACAGCAATTTGCCAACCTACGGCCCATCTCGTTGTTCCAAAATATATGGAAAAAAATCAATACCAATTCAATTCAAATGCTAGAATTCAAATAATGTTTTAAAATATTATAATTTTGTTTTAACTTAATCAATTAGTTTAGTTTCAATGACCTCCTCAACATTTTGGAAAGGCAAGAATTTTGCCCATGGAGCCATTATCTGTCTACAAAAGCTCTACCTCAAGTGGGCAAACTCACAAAATAATATGAAAATTACCCATACCCATACACCCTTCCAAAATCCTAGTAATCGTTATAAATTTCGCTTACCTTCAGTCAAGAGGAATTTGTAAAATGTGGTGATGGATGAAGTGGTGGTGGCGGCTGTGTGGGTTTTGGATGAGCAACAACGATATGGGTTTTTGGATTCGAACTGCAGCAAGAAGGAAAAGGTGTGGGGACGTGTCGATTCAGACTGGAGCAAGAACGAAGCGGTGGAGGAGGAAAGCTGCGAGCGCACCACGTGTAAAAATAGGCCTTTTAGTCTTTTAACTATACAACCATAAAAAAAGCGAAGGAAAAGAACGTTTGAAGAGGGGCAATTCTGCCAATTCACTATGCTTAGGAACAATGAACCTCCTTAATTGGGTTTTGGTATATATAGAATTTGTATCGGTATGCTAAACAAAATTAAACTTGTTTACTTCTGTATAATTCCTAACCAAAAATTAAAAATGAAATGATTATGGTGAGCTTATTGATAATTTTAATTTTCTTTTTAAATGCATCTTGTGCTTAACGATACTTTTATAATAAAGTAAAAAAGATAATTCATAGTAAAAATTTCAAATGTCATTTCCTGTTACTATGTTGTGGGAATAAAAAGTTTTTGTTGCTTATGCAACATGTTTACCACTATTATAGCATTCCAATCTTGTAGTATAATGCTTTGTATAAATCTGATAATATGTGACGTTGCATTATCGAATCAGAACGTCACGTGACAGTATATTATTTGGTAAACTAATAAGATAAATAAAGGGAACTTTAACGAAAAACTCTCAAAACTATTCACTTTAACGAAAAACCCTCAGTACTGTTTACTTTAACGAAAAATCATATTTTTACATTAAAAAGACAATCATGTTACCATTCACTTTACCCTTTATTTTGTCTTTGTCGTTAAAACTTAAAGTTCTTAAATTTTTTTTTTATTAATTTTCCTATAAATAAATGATCCCTTATTTAAAAAGTAAATAGGGACCACTTGCTCAAAATGGGTCTCCCTCAACCATTCGAGAAATTCTGGCCGGACCAGTTGACCATACGGCTCCCACACACAAAAACATCTCTACCCCATGAGCTCCTTGATTTTTCCGCACAACCCCGACCCCACTGTACCCCATCCTCCCTTGCACAAAGCGAAAGGGCCCACCATCAACGGTGTCCGCACCCAAAGCCTTCACCAGCCGTATGCCATTGTGGTCCACCCAAAAGTGGTGTGGGCTATCACCCAAGATGAGAAAATAAATAGTTGGACCCACCAACTCTATCTAGAGAGACCCAACCCCAGCGGTACTTCGCTGGTCCTTGTCCATAAGTGCGTGTGCAGTAGGCCCACCGTGTTAGAAAACTAGAGGCGTATGCGGTAAGGTCCCATCTTTAATCCTTCGTATCCCGGGCGAGGATTCTCTCCGAATCTTCATGCATTTAATTTAATCGTTTATAATGTATTGTATAATTAATTTTTATTAAGTACTATTTGTATTTAATTTTAAATAAAAAATTTAAAATAATTTCTTATCACATAAAATGAATTGATCTCTGAAATCCTCACAAAAAGAATTCAAATAGAATCATATTCCTCATATCCCACCCATAAAAAGGCAAAGCTTCCCGCGGGGATCCAAACCAATGGACAAAATTTTTGTTTCCAAATTTGGTTACGAGCCCTCCATCACAATGATATAGATGAGTGTTGCACTTACACTACCATGTGAGTTTGACCAAAAAAAAAAAATTTCTCATAACAGTTAGTTTTGTCAATTACTTTGTCAAATTGAGGATTATTTTTGTCCATTTATGTTTGGGCCACACAGCTAAGATGTAAGAATAAGGTTGTAGCACGTTAACTTGCCACTTGAAATTGGTAACCCATTAATATACAGCAGTTGTCGCTGCTAATTTCAACCCTCTTATCTTATGTATCCATTATTATTTTCACCTTTTTGTCTAGTACGAGGCAACTGGAGAACGAGAGATGATTAATATGTGTAATTGATAAATTAGAGGCCTATACACTCCTATCTGTAGGTACAATTCCCCTAATAAATGGTCCAAAACAGTCATCAAAATTCCATTTTAAACGGTCTTGTGGTATTTTTCTTTACTTGTAAGTGAGAGGTCTAAGGTTTAATTGTCGCCAAAAGGCGACTTTGAACCATATTATTACTAGCCCATTATGAGGCTTAGCCTACTCCCCAACCCCTTTAGTGTAGATAATGTCGTTTGTTAAAACAAATGTGACATGTTTGAAAAGTAGTGGTAAGATGCTTTGAGGCCATTAGGTGAAAGAAACATTGGCTAAATTAAGATTATTTGAGCAACATACATTGAGCATTTAACAATTAAAGAGCGAAAGCTTGTACATTTGCTCTCCTTTTCTTCGTTGGATCTTTGGCTTCTTGGATTTGGATGATGGAATAGGAATCTCCAAGTTCATAAGAGAGGGAACTTCTAATTTCTCCACACCAAGGAGAGATGTGAAGAGAAGATGAGTGGCCTTGGATGAAGATTGATGCTAGTGAATCTCCTCATGGGGGGCCGACTTTGTAGAGAGAAAATTAGGAGAAATGTTTCCTAATTCCTCCTAACAAAACCTAAGTGAGGCTTAGGTTATAACTCCCTTTTTATAGTCCCTCGAACTTGAATGACTTGGAAAAACCTAACCCTCTCTCTCTATAGCCGGCCTTGTAGTTTCATTGGGCCTTTGGGGGTCCTTTAAGTTTTAAGATGTCATACAACTTATGTGATATTTGGTCCCGGAGTTTATTATTTATTTATTTATTGTTTTAAGAAAAGTGTATTGAAGAGTGTTTTGGTTATTTTATATTTCATTTTGGTGTTTTGACGTGAGTTTGGAGTAGATGAATAGACATTGATTTCACAAGAGTATGGGCATAAATGGTGTCTAAAACTGAGTTAGAACAAATAAGTTAGAAGCGTTTTAACTTGAAGGGTATTTTGGTCTTTTTCCAAATGCTATAAATAGCAAGGAGGCCCATAATCTCATAAAAATCCAACTTTATGGAAATGGAAAGTTTCATCCTAGAGTAGACCCGGTTAAGGAGGTCGGGTCAACCCCAACTGTTCATAACCCAATAGTTTGACTATACATAAATTCTCCATCCGATCGCCATTATGGGTGAATTTGGTGTCCGCTGACAGCTATCAACAATCCCTTTTGTTCTTCTTACTTAGTTTCAACCAATTTTAGGGTAGACAATAAAATTTAGCTCAAAAGCCCCAAATACTCTAAAACCTAGATTTTAAGATGGTCATTTCCGGCAACAATCTTGGTGGAGCACCACCTGAGTTTTGTATCCCTTCCTCGATCCCAAGAGTAAAATCCGACTAAAATCACTTACATCGGACCTCCGACGATGATACAGCGAGGCTCGAAAATTTTGGGCACCATGACTTGAAAAACAAATGCCGGATCTGAAATTATATTCACATTTTGTTTGTCTAATTTATGTTAACATGAAATGCATCGCTCTGAATTGAGAGGGTTGGGCCCATGCATTCCTGAATTATTGCCCTCCTGTCCCAAGCCACAACTTTATTGGCATCGCTTGTTAAATGGCGGAGAAAATTCTCATTCATCCATCTAACGGCATATTCTTTTCAATGTTATGACTTGTCCAATTTGATATTATTTTAATTTTAGATAGATGAGTAAAGTAGATGATGTCACGATGCATGTAAGAGGTGATGAAGTAATTAGAGTAGATACAAAAGTTTACAGGAAAGAAAAGCTTGAAAAATAGTTCCTACTTTTTTGAAAATTAATTCTTAAAAGGACAAAACTTGTGTTTTCATTTCCCTAGTCCCTTTCAATTATATTGGACATATAATGTTATTGTTTTCAAGACCATCGATTTGTACTATACATTAAAATGATCATTGATATTGATTTTCATCGAATTTTTCTAAAAATGATGTCAAGAAAAGAAAATGGTTATTGTGTTAAAATATGTACGGTTAATTAGATTAAAATACAATTACAGACGTGATAACATTTGTATAGTTGAAATACAATCACAGTTACAAGCACTAGGTATTCTTTAGCATTATGATGCGAATCAAATATAAAGGATGAAACATAGTAGTCTGGTGTATATAGCTATGCCAATAGTTGCACACAAGGGACTTTGAATCTATACCGATCCCGGTCAATTACTATTCTAACCCTTTAAACTTGAGAAAGACGAACTTATGCATCATCATAGAGTTTGAGTAGGAAACCCAATTCATCAGAACCGTCCCAATTTGGTTGTTCTTAATGCATATTACTTCCAAAGAATAAACTCCTGATCTCCCTCATGAATTTTCACTTAATTTTCGATCCTAAACTTTTCAATTGGAAAATCAAGAATTTAAACTAATTTTTTTGTCAATCTCCCCTATCTTTAGTTTTCTATAGACTCAATCCAAATTAACATTGAGAGATTATATTCATATACTCCAAATTACTTCTACTCTTTTAATTTTTTAATATTTTCTGCACACCACTAACACTTGATAGAAAAATATTTAAAAAATAAAATGGTATGGGAGAAGTAACTTGGGTGTGTGAATATAATTTCCTATTAACTTTAACTTTTGTCACATGCATACCATGTGACTCTCCTTTGAGAACAAAAGGGTCACTTCACTAGACCTTCAATTAACGACCCGTCCTGAATTTTACGAATTTTGGAACGAGGGTAAATTAGTAATTTTATGTGTCATTTTTCATGTTTGTCTTTTTGGGCTTGCCAGTGGGGCCCACCCCTTTGTTCTGGTCTCCCGGCCTTCTCTCCTTCTTCCCTCTCCCCGTCACTCTCTATCTCTCATCTTCACTATGTCTCTCTTTCTTTCTCTCACTCTCATCCCGAATTTTACGAATTTCAGAACGAGGGTAAATTGGTAATTTCACGTGTGGAGATATTTTTCATGTTTGTCTTTTTGGGCTTGCTAGTGGGGCCCACCCTTTTGTTTTGGTCTTCCAGCCTTCTCTCCTTCTTCCCTTTCCTCGTCACTCTCTGTCTTTCATCTTCACTATCTCTCTCTTTCTTTCTCTCACTCTCATCTCTCTGTAACTCTCCATTTCTTCAAACTCACACATGACACCACCTCCACCATCACTAGCCTCGCCACTCTGGCAAACCCCATCATCCTTAGGACCTCCCTGTTGCGACCATCAAGGCTCCTCCTTCTCTTTCCCTCTCACGATATAGTGTCACTGTCACTGTTCAAAATGTTCTCCAGCGAACTCTCACCAATACCAACATGGGTAAGCTTCGGAAACACACTAAACCTTCTCATTTTGTCCCCATAGTTTGTTTTTTTATCGTGCTTGTGTGTTATGGATGTCGAAGCATCGCAAAAACAGCTCGGGGATACTTCCCCAAATTCCGGCGAGAACCCGAGCTTTTCAAACCATTTTTCGATCAACTCCGGTCACGGCTGGCCAAGGGATAGGTATAATATTCTTCCTTGTTCCTTAGGCTTCAATTTGGTATATTGAATGACTAGTTTTAGTTAAGATTTGGGGATGAATAGAGCTTTCCAAGCTCCGACTTTCTTCTTCATGGAGATCGGCCGACCCACAGCTTGAAAACGGGTCGACCCGACCCTCAACCCAAAACATTGTTCTGACCCGATTCAGATCCAAATGGAATATTCTTTGAAATATTCCTAGAATATTCAGTTAGGGAAATTCCCTGGAATATTTGACATTTACGAAATTTTCCCGGGACCCTTTCTAAACTAATTTCGACATCCTGATTCCAAATCCGCACTCCATTTTCCCAAATTCAATTATTTTAGTAGAGTTTTACTAATTGGTCCTTTTATGTGCTTAGATGCGTTTGTTAGGGATGACCCCGTCCTTTCTAGTTTGAGCGGCTTTTCGGTGACAGAGTATTTGTGAGTGGACCCCTTCTAAAATGCATGATTTTATTGCTAGAAATGCATACATGAAAATCATGATTTTATAACTACGTTTTATTAAACGTTTATGAGTTATCGGATTTACGCTTATAAAATGTCATGCTTTATCAGATTTACATTTACTTAAATACGTATGAATATGGTTTTATGATATGATGTTTAAGCTATTGAGCTTTGATGAGATATATTTTGGAAAGAATATGTTCATGATTTTTTGTGCTTACTTAGTGGATATTCATATATATATATGTGTGTGTGTGTGCGTGTGTGTGTGTGCGCGCGCCTTCAGGTGGGCGATGTAGTGTCTTTAGGCAAAAGATATATGTGCCTTCGAGTGAGCGATAAAGTGCCTTCAGGCAGAAGATATATGTGCCTTCAAGCGAATGATGTAGTGCCTTCAGGCGGAAGATATATGTGCCTTCAAACGGGCGATGTAGTGCCTTTGGGCGAAAGATGTATAAATGCTTTCAAGTGGGCAATGTAGTGCCTTCAGACGATTGTGATAGCACTACAAAGCACACTATATACGATATATGTTTTAATCCAAGGTTTTGTGGCATGCTAGGGTTTCGGAAAAACTTATTATTTATTATGCTATATTAGTTTCTAAAACTGGGGGTTAGTATGTTTGGAGTAGTTGATTTTAGTATTACTTATTTATAAACTTGGTCCACTCATGCTTTGTCTTGCGCCCCTTTCAGGACTTAGAATCGAGGCATACAATACCAGCATCAAGGCACTCCTGCATTGGTATGTTCGAGTCCTCTTGATGTAGGACCCATTCCTTTGTTCGTACCTTTTCATAATATTCCTTCTACAGTATTCCTAATTAGTTGTATGCTCTGAACACGTTCCCACATTTGCATATTCATTATAGTTAAGTTTACGTGTTTTATCTTACATTCGTTCTTCCTTCGTATTTTTATGTGCATGTTAATATGGCTTCGTCATCCTCGAGTGTCGACCAACACGTGCTTACCCTGGTGTTTGGAGGATATGAGGGTTGGGTGTGTCATTCAAACATAAAAGCTATAGAATCACATAGATTTGAATAGGCTGACATTCTAGAAATCTGAGGTTTTCAATTATTTTTAAGAACAAGGCGACATAACTATCCTCACATGCATATACTTCCATTTAATAGAAATTGGATTGAATGAATGAAAAACAACCAGCAGGGTGAAATTGGCCAAAACAATGAGCTTAAGTTCTTAATTTTACAATGAAAAATTTTAGGGAGAATAAAAAAGTTAAGTAAAAGTTCAGAGATGAAATTGGCAACTTACTCTACTTCCAAACAAACAAAAATTGAGTAACTTTTAGACCATCTTCAACTCTTGGATGAAAACCTATAATTTTTAATTTAGAAACAGTTTTTCTCCTCCAACCCTTATGGGTTAAATTTTTAGCCTGAAATTATTAAAGAATGAATTTAGGATATTTTTTTTCTTAAAGTAATTTAAAAAAAAATTATGTTGACTATCCTAATTTAATTTTATAAACAGTTTAACTTTCAAATATTTAGATTCCGATAAATATTAAGAAATCACTAAACCGGCACCATAAAACTCGTGGAACAATACGAAAGAGTATGAAACACATAAAATAATTTTTTTTAATTACTTTAGCCATTGGATTTAAATTTGGACCATTAGATTTTTTTTTTTTTTACTGTTGTATTTGATTAAATTAGATCTTAACCATTGGATTCAATGAATTTATAAATATAAAACTAAAAAAAATACACATATATAATGAGCTAGCCCCATTAACCCAGGGGAATCTTGGGCTAAATTTGTCTCATAAATTAGTTTTGGGTTTTAACTCATATTTGCTCCAAAAGTTAGAACAAGTTAGAATAAATTTAAAACCTAAAATTTGAGTTTTATTCCAAGAGTTAGAGTAGTTTTTAAGAGTGCATTTCTCATTGGGACCCATCAAACACCTTGACTCAACCCGAACAGATAGGACAAGGATCCTCTTCGGATTCTCTTTGTGAGGATCCATGGGATCAATCAATCGGGTCTGTTTATTGTACATCGTGCGGTCAGTTTTCGTTACGTACTGTTTATATTCAATTTTAAATTTTAAATTTTAAATAATTTATAACCACACAATATACAATGAACGACCATGATTAATTGATCTCTTAGATCCTCGTAAAGAGAATCCGAAGAGGATCCTATTCCTAACAGATAAACCCTACTAAACGGTCCCACCACTACTCATCACAAGTGTGGCTCCCACATATCGGTGCTGGAAAGGAGAAGAAACCGTAGATTATTTCTCAAATATTTTCTTTCATATTTATTTGTAATCAAATTAATCTAATCAAATCCACTAATATAAATACCGGAGAATATCCCCCCAAACCTGTTGGTTTAAGCACATTGAGAAAATTCTTCGTCCTCAAGCTTTTCCCTCCACTCTTTGTCCTGCCCCCACAGTTTTTCTTTCTGCAACTTCAAATCTCTGATTCTACCTGCTGGGACACGCCGAGTTTGCTTCTTCTCAACTGGGTTCCCTTGATTTTTTTCTGCAAACATGGACATGATTCAAGAAGAACAGCAACATAAGCGAGACCGAGACCAGGACGAAGACGCCTCAGCAGCCGATCTCGGAATCGACGGCGGAGGAGAATCCGACCCAGAAGACCCCACCGATCCCTCTCGGGCTCTCGCGCTGCCGCCTAAGCAGGAGCAAGACGTACCTATGACGGTGGCGGTGCACGCGCCGAGGAGAGCGTCGACCAAGGACCGACACACGAAGGTTGAGGGGCGGGGACGGAGGATCCGAATGCCTGCCACGTGCGCGGCTCGGATCTTCCAGCTGACCCGGGAGCTCGGGCACAAGTCCGATGGGGACACAATACAGTGGCTTCTGGAGCACGCCGAGCCGGCTATAATCGCCGCCACAGGCACCGGAACGGTGCCGGCGATTGCTATATCCGTGAACGGTTCGCTTAAAATCCCCACTGATGTGAGACCCGGGGACGACCCTCCCGACCAGAAAAAACGCAAGCGCAACTCCAACAGCGAGTACGTGGACTTAAACGACGGCGTCTCAGTGTCGGCGGGTTTAGCCCCTTTAACAACGGAAGGACGACGACAACCACCACCACCACAACCACCGACTACAGCTGTACAAGCGGTGGCGCCTCAAGGCATGGTCCCCATGTGGGCCATACCGTCAAACACCGTAGTTCCGGGAGCTTTCTTCATGGTCCCCTCGACGACCCAGCCTCACATATTTACGTTTCCAACCACTCTCCCCGCCGCTCCTTTCATCAACATCTCGGCCAGACCCATATCCTCCTTCGTTGGTCCCAGTTCGGCGGCTCCAGCCACTGCAACGAGCAGTGGCGGCGGCACTCAGACGCTGAGAGACTTCTCGCTGGAAATTTACGAGAAAAAGGAGCTACAATTCATGTCTGGCTCTTCAAATCACTGACGGCGGAGCAAAACCCAGAAACCTATCGTCCGCAGTTTCGGATTTTGGCGGCGAAGGGCGCTGGGTTTTGCCTTTGGGTGGGAAAGGGGAAGCACGTGATCACGTGAGGGGAGGGTTTTAAGGCGATGCACGTGTGAAGTGGGGTTGGATTAGGCGGAGGTGGGGACCACAATTGTGGACCGTGTAACGGCGTATGAGGTGGGTGAGAGTAGGGGTTTGTATGGTGTAATCTGCGCGGGTCCTACTCCATCTCACTGTCCATGTGATGGTGGGAGCGGGGCCCAAGTTCAAAAGCACCATTACCAAGGCGGCCTTCGCGTGGAGTGGTCCCAGCGGGAGGGTTGGATGGGTCCGTGGGGTAAGTTGACACGTGTCTGATGGGTAGGTGCCCCGTTGTTGTAGGGGTCCGCTTAGTGTTTTTACCTATTTCCCTTGTTATTTTATTTATTGTAATAAAATAATGGTTTAGGGTTTGTGGGTGTGGTTGTGCACAAATGGAAAGGTGACGGTGATGAGGGGATGAAGATGGGCGCATTAGATGCAAAAACCCCAACTTGGTGAAGAGAAATGTAAATGTAGCGTACGGCATTATTCAGTGTTTGACCTAATTTTAACTTTCCCACTTGTGTGTTTTCTTTTATGTTTTTGTGCATATTTTTCTCAATCCTTGACTATCATTCAAAGGTTTTAAATTTTGGCTTTATTTAAGTACATTCTTAGCAGCGTTTGAATCTTTCTCGATTCTATCTTCGTAGGGCGTTAGAGCTTGTACTATGAGGGGAAGCGGTGACGTTGAGCGATCAAAATTAAGGGAGTGTATTCAAGTAAGGGTTTAAAGGATCTTAAAAAAGTTACAAATTTGTCTTCAATCGAGAGTTCAATTTTTTTATTTTCTTACAATTCAATCAAGACATCAATTGAATATATGAAAATCCATGAGTACTAAATCACAATTTTAGAAGAGTTTATAAAATTGCATAGCAATACGAGTGCATTCATTTCAAATTTTAATGTATTTCATAAAACTCCATGCGAATTCAATTAGGATATGATATTCAAGTATTTTAAAGATGAAGGATTTTAATGGATTTAGAGTGATTTTATAGTGTTTTTTAGGTTTTAGGAAATCAAGCATCTCCCCCCTAACATTTCTAATGATTTTACCTAAAATTCACAAGGAGTATATGAAACTCCATTAAACACTATGGATTTATAAGTCTTTTATGTTGCAGTTCTAATAGTTTAGAAATATGATTATGTAAATCCTATTTATCTTGGAATATCTTTATGGGATTTTACCATATATTTTCTTTAGATATTATTCTATTAGATTTGTAATACTATTGGGGTAAATAAATAAATAAAAGCACAATGAGGTGAGAAAACACACTTAAAAATTCACCCAATTCTCTCTATGCTTGTCATACCCTCTCTCTATACTTATGCAGTCAAATAGGCCTACAACATTTACAATATTTTAAAAACTTAAAGCTATACAATTTTTCAATTGTTAGTTAAAAAGGTAAAAGCAAAAACTAAGTGTTATCAAACGGTTCCTGGTAAAAATTAAAATTAGCCAATTAAAACTGTAAAGTTTGGTTCCCAAGGGAAGAAGTTTGATTTTATCAATCAATGTTCTAAAAGATGTTAAGAGCTAATCGAGAAAGTGCTTAGTGCCCAGACGCCTAGGCAAGGGTTTAAATTGGAGTCTAGGCGATTTTTTTTTTTTTTAAATGTTAACATAACGAATATCGTTATTTTGCTAAAAAAACAGTACTATATTGCCAACAAAATTTACAAAAGTCAATAGGAACAAAGACTCCTAACAAGCAACACCAAAGACTCTTTTGGGGTCTTAAATCCCAGCAGCCACTCTTTTGGCTTCTATTATTCAAAATGACCAAACCCATCCATTCACTACAAAATTAATTCTGGAAGCAGATTTAACATTTCAAGCCTCTGCCATGCTATTTTATCAGCCTCAACATAAACAGTATTTGAAATTTGACACTCTTATTCATCAGAAAACACCTCTAATTCGTATAGACAATACAAAAGTCCGTCATACAAAGTTTATAACCTTAATACCTAATTAGGCCTTCCGGGTAGTTTCTATCACGACGCAGCGCTTGCAGATGGCTTCAACTTCTTCGGTGGTGGGTTTCCTCCAGAGAGGACGACATATGAATAGAAGCATAACATTGCAGTACTAATGGCAGCATAAAAGCCTGTTGGAAATACTTTCTTCGTCATAGCGTACGTCTGTAAGTTCTTCCACAGGAGGGCTACCGCCAAAGCTGCTTGTCCTAGAATGAACGGTAAACTGGACTTTCCCTGCCTCCATATCTTTAAGCTAATGGTGCTAAGGGCTAGCAAAGCCCCACCAAACAGGACGCCAGTGCTCAACGTGGCAGGATTTCTGGAAAAGATAAATCCAATAAGTCCACCACCTAGAACAATCCCCCCAAATGGAATCCCAAAACAGAAATCATGAATCTTGGCCGCTCTTTTTGGTTGAGCGACATGTTCGTCATCTAAAATGGGATCCAACTTTGCTTTTGGTGCATCGCTTGTGGAACTCAAACTATTCTTGGCCTTGGAACCCCCTTCAATGCTCATGACAATAAGCGACAAAGACCTGGGACGAGCAGTGGTTGGGCAAAGGAGTGAACGTCTTGAGAGGCGGAGCTGACGATTCATGGCAGAGAAGCATGAAAGCTGCGAAGTCGTCACTGCTGCCATTGTGCTCATGTTGTTTGATCTGTAATACAAAATTAAAGTTAATGAAGTCTCCTGCATAATTAATCAAATATTTAAAGAAATCACAAGGATTTCATCCAGAACTGTTATTTTTTTCTGTGGCTGCATCTAAATTTATGAAATTAGTTTTATCTAATGGATATGAATCTCATATGTGAGGACGCATCATGTATGAAAGAGTTAAATTACATTCATTCAACCACCAGAATATTCAAACTGAAAGCTATAATTGATGTAGTGCATGAAAGAGAAATTCATTGAGCTCTCATAATTAAGTGGCTAATTTATATTTTAGTAATTTGTATTTTTGTAAGTTGTGCTTTAATTATGTATTTGGGTTGGGACTTGATTATCATTTATGAAGTTTTAGAGGACTAGGAAGTTGTGTTAGCATTTAATTAAGCAGTTGGCTAGACCTTTTAAAATGCTAGAATTCTGGAGGTTGAGGGGATGTATTTGAATGAATTTATGAACAGAACTTGGCTCTTTATCTTACTCTCCTTCTCTAGTTGTGCTAGTGTTCGTCGAGTTGATTCTCTGCCCTTTAACAGTCCCCTATCAATAATCCTAACCCCTTTCCCCTTTAAAGCGAGTTAAAAGAAAAACCGAAGCTGTCATCGTTACTCATACTATCATCCAATGGATTTTTTTTTTTTGTACAAGTGACATTCTACCTTAAATCATTTAAACTGTGGGTAGAGGGATTCGAACTTGGGTGTTTAGAGAGGGGGGAGCACATCTACTCCAACCAATATGGTTACGACCACATCTGCGTGGAATTTGTTTTTTATTTTTTGAACAAAATATATTATCTACACCAAAACGGTGGAGAAGTAAACTAAACCTCACAGTAGGCTAGCAATAATGTGGTTTAAATTCTCCTTTGAAGAGAATCGAACCTAAAACCTCTCACTTACAAATGAAGATAGTCCTGAATGGCTCGTCTGCGTGTATTTTAATGTCGAGAAAAAACCTATGAAAGGGCATGAAACCTAGCTTATATCAAATAGAAATCTACCTTGTATTAAACTGACTAGGATTTGAATCACAAATGAAGAAATTCTTTCAAAAAGTTCTCTCAAAAAGCCACTGGATTACGAATAATTTATCGTAGCCTCTAACAGAAAGGATTCAATCGTAACAACAATTATAATAATCCCAGAAATGAAATTAAACCTCCCGATCTCTAAATCCCACGCACCGAATCACTAGTAATTTGCACATCAAAATCCATGGCTTAATCCCCAAATTCTAAAGCATGAAAAATGTCAAATTTATATGGAAATTGAAGCTGTACCTGCAGATCGGCAGCAGCAAACGGAATACAACAGCAGCTACCTGAGAGTGAGGGGGAGAGAGAGAGCTGAGAGATGAGTGAGGGAATTGCGAAGGATCTGGAATTGCTGCCGACTTGAATAAACAACGACAGATGGAATGGGCCTGTGAGCGAGGGCCGATGCTGCTACTGGAGAAAATGGTTATATTTGGACACCAAAATTTGTTTCTTTGTCTGCCTAATTACAAAAATACCCCTCATTGTTTTAGTTGTTGTAAGGGCAAAGCACGCCAAATGCCCTGAGGCGTGCATTGGCTGCCCAATCGAACGCTCTGAGGCACGCTTTGGTTGCCCAGGTCGCACCCCATCAAGTCTAGGCGAGTTTTTTGCCGATTCTCATAAAATGAAGGTGATTTTCTTCCTACCCAGCCTTCAAAGCCACCTAGATATGCCTTGGGTCGAGTTTTTTATAACACTAATTTTTTTTTTATCATTTTCGATAGAAAAATGACTTTCGCACGCTCGTTCTCTTTTCATACACCCATTTCTATGTGTGTCTTTGATGTATTCATTCCAGAAAGCTAGAAATAAACAGAGTTCTAAAGTTATGTGGAAATCGCATCCTTTTTTCTTTTCCAATATAGTATTATTATTAGCAGGTCAAAAATTAGTCTTATAAATTGGTTAGAACTTGTAATTCGATTAGTTAAGAGCATTCAACATTAAATGCCATTTGCTTCTCTTACAATATATTAAGCATGAGTCACAAACGCGTACAAAATACAGGAGACACAATTCCGATATATCAGTCACAAATACGTATATATTCGAGGAAAGCACATATAAACAAAGACAAAACAGAAGCTCCTGTGCGACCCAAAATCTGGAAGAGGAAGATTTACTATCATATCATTAAACTGGGAAGGGATTAAGAGGAACAAGTAAACATCACTCAACTCAACTTTTCAGTTCTTCCTGATTTCCTGTGTGAAAGTTTAACGAAAATAATGTATACGACGTTTAACTATACCAATCAAGAAAGAGAATCGAAAACGTAAGTACAAATAGGAAAAGCAAAAGAAAGGTCCTGCTGCTGCTATTCCGCTCGATTGCTTTGGAGATCTCTTTGTTGCCGAGCTCTACGTTCTTTGTTGCTTCAACTGCCTGCTCAACAGAAGATAATTATCAGCAGCTATTGGAACATTTATTTATCCGTTTATAAAAGAATACTGACAATTCAAAGCAAATAGTGGGACAAAACAACAACCGACGACCATGGACCAACATATATCTTATATCCACCCACCTGATCGTATAGTTGCTCTATTTGGTGGGCTTGTTGCAAAACATGTGTGGACATAAGGTGATTCAGCGCAGACATTTCCACCATCTTAGTTTCAGTTTCCTGAACCGCATCTAGAAGGCTAGTCAGCTCTACCTGCATTGCGTACCAAGAGCAGCACTAAGCAACTTTATGCAATAGAGGGTTTCTAAATAATGGAATAGCCAAGTCTAAAGAATAGACAGACGGCTAAGTATTAGAATACCTGAAGGGCACGTGTTTCATCATCCAAGAGTTGTTGTTGCACTGTTAGAGGCTCGGGTTGAAATTCATTAGGTTCCCTGAGCTCCAAATTGTTAGAGTTTGAGGTATCTGTGGATGCTGAAGTCTTAATCCGCTTAGGTTTTCTTCTTGGTGTTGCTTTGTTAATGGAATCTTGGAAGCGTATGGCCCTTAGCTGATCAAACCGTGACGTGACTGAATGGAGTCTCTCGCTTAAAATCAAAACCTGCAGTTTCAGAATATGCATTGGATAATTAAATAAGCAAACATGCCATTCATTCCTTGCAAATATGTTTACACTGAGGAATATGGAATCTTAATTAACTCGATTGAACATTAACAATCACCCAATAATCTGGTAATATAATTTAGCTCAAGAAAGAACTACTAAAAGTTACACAACTTCCCATATCAAACACGACCAGGGAGGACAAATTCATGGTTTCTCCTTTGAGAGTGCAAAGGCTTATTGGGGCATAAAAATATAATATCACTAGGTATCCTTGGTATAAACTGGGAAAGAATCATACCACACCATGTTTGTGTGCTATAGTATCAGCGTTAGAGTAGTCAGTCCTAATGCCAAGCCAGCCCTTTGAGTTTGCCTCGTCATCATTAATGCTATTTTTTAGAACATCAATTTGTTCTTGGCATGCTTTAATAAAAGCACTAACCTGCATATTATGACAAATTGAAAAAAGTAAGCACACTGCAAAACCATATAGCTTCATTCAAGACACAAGAAGCAGAAAAGTACAAAAAAAAATGTAGATCACAAGCAATTTACGAGACATTGTTCTTATACAGATATCAAGCAAATACTGAATACGTTGGATTTACGCATGCACATTGAAACAAGCTCAACGTTACAGAATCTACAACTCATTCTTACATATACAATTACAAATACCCGCATTAAACATCAAATTGAATAGCATATATGAAATCAGAGTTTGGTAACATCAACTGCTCAGTAACTTTGTAAAGTAGGAATGCATAATTTAACACTTTTGCATCTAAACAAAAGGGACAATTCTGAAGAGTTGTCTAATAAATCATTTTGTCAGCACAAACAACAATAATAATTAGTAAGATGAGATTTTTAGAGTTCCTTCATCCAAAGACTACCCAATAGAGCTGTGGGAGCCTGAAATCTTCCACAGCGACATAACTTAGTTTAAAAAAAAAAACAATAAGCAAGGATTTGTCAACTGATAACTTACTTCATGCTCAATGCTATCCCTCTCCTGTTCAGTGGTGCGATGCAGATCCACATAATCCTTTCGATGTTTCAACATAAACTGTTCTAGAGCTCCAATGCTTTCGAGCTAACCCAATTAATCAAAGGAAATGATCTAAAACACAATCAGATAAAAGATTTTGGAAAAGAAGAAGCAGAGTGGCAAATGCGCAAATACCGTCTTGAGGGCAGCTCTGGTGAAAGGCGACCGCTGCCGGGGTGCATGGATGATGAATTTCGCCATAATCGCTGCCAATTTGGACTGTAAAGTTTCAGATGAAAGTCTTTAATTCACAAGAAAAATCATATATTTGTAAAGATTGGAGAGATAAATGGAATTAATCTACGAACCTCGTTGTAACCCATTGAGATAGCAGATTGGCGCACAGCATCTTTGAAATCTTCCATCCTATCCCTGACTTTGGACATTCTTTACAATCCAAACCCTAACCCTTAATTTCAGCAATTCCCAGTTTCTTCTTCTTCAGGGATAGAAAGAAAATTTCAACCAAAATACGAAAATATAAGAAATTAGAGCAATTAATAACTTAATTTCAATGGGAAATCCAAAGAATTTGGAGAAATGCTAGAGTTTGGGAATGGAGAAACCCTAATTGAACTGAAATTGTAGTTTCTGTGAAGTCGTCGCTGCTGCCATTGTGCCTACACAACTACTCAGGTATAAACCCTGTAGGTTGATCTCCTCCCTCTCCAAGTGATCGTTTATCTTTCCTTGTCAAATTCCTTTCCTTTACTCTAATTTACCAATTGATAAGAATTATCCTATCACATTCATAACAACAATTCTAAGAATCCCAGAAATTGAAATCAAAGCTGCCAATCTATAAATACCAGGAACCAAATCACCAGAAATTTGCAATAATTACAATAATTCAATAATATTTCCATGGTTTGATACCCAAATAATTCCAGAAATCATGAAAAAAGGGGAAATCCAACGGCGATTACCTGAAGAGTGAGAGAGAGAGAGAGAGAGCTGAGAGATGAGTTGAGAGAACTGTGGAGGATCTGGAGTTGGTGTAGCAGCCTTACCCCTCACAGATCAAAGCTGAGAATTTTGAGAAGATGGTTCTACTTGGATCCCAAAGTACTCTTTCTTTATTACCAGAATTACAATTCTATCCTTCATTGTCTTTTTTTTTTTTTTTTTTTTGAAATTTTAACAAAAAAAACTTTCAGTACTGTTTTACTTTAATTAAAAATCACATTTTTACACTAAAAACTTAATCTTGGTATTATCCACTCTACCTTTTATTTTGTCCTTATAGTTAAAACTCAAAGTTTTTAAATCATTTTCATTAGTTTTCCTTTTTTTTTTCCTTTTTTTTTTTATAATTTTTAAATTTTCTTTTTTTTTTGGGAAATAATTTGTGCTTTTACAAGCAAGGAATAATACAATTGATTAGAAGTTTTTTACTTATAAATACAAACATAGGTGGGCATTGCCAAGGTCGCCTTGCTTCTAAAACTGATAACTCAGCAAAATAATATTAAGGCTTAATTGGATTAATAGTTCTTGTGATGGTAAAGTAGTTAGAAGATAATTATGTGCTTAAAAATTAGAATTTAACCCCGTGTAGTGAAAGTATGTTAAGATTTCGGTTTAAAATTGAATATTTTGTCAAATTTTCGTTAATTGTTAGCATATGAGACTCACACGTAAGACTAAAGAGATAAAGTTAGCTTCACATGTAAGATGCACCTGCTAAAAAAATAATATATGTGACTCACGCGCTAATAATTAACGAAGAGTTGACTGAATTTTCAATTTTGGGCCCAAATTTTTACCACTGGGGCTTAAATCCTAATTTTTTTACTTAAGATGCTACATTCCAACTACCCTATCATCACGGAAACTAATAATCCAATTAGGCCTAATATTGATTAGTTTAGTTCGAATTCGATTTAGGCCATGCTCGATTTGTGGGAGGGAGAGATGAAGAAAAATACATGAACCTAATAAATCCATTAATTGGCCAATTAACTCAATTTATATGGAATGTTTTGAAGGTTATGGAGTAAATACCTTGTAGGGAATATAAGATGAGGATGGATGAAATAATTTTGAATTTGTTACCTATTTTGGGCACTTTTGGCTTGATTGAGGGATGCTTGCCTGCTGTTCGCACGTAGGAAAACTGGCGTGCCTTAAGGGTAATTTTGTTCTCTTTACCCAAAAATCCACGTGTCGCCTCTTGATTATTTTTGGCTTCACAAATGCCCTCACACCTGCTGGGTTGCTCGTAGGAAAAGGCAGCAGGTGTAGAGATCTTGCTCTAGGAAACTTAGGACTACTTCCTATTTTGATGTAGATTCCCTCTTTAATATGAAATTAGATCCTTCTAGAAAAGGGAAATAAATTCCTCTCAAAGTCTATTTAAGTGCACCTTAAGTGGGTTGTTAAATCAATTTTGGAGAGCGATTTATTCTATCATACAAGAGAGAGAAAGCTTAGAGGATATTTGTTCCCCCTCCTTTAGCAATCTTCTACATCTTGCCCATGCAAAAGATTATCTTTTGTTGCTTGCTTCGTCTTCGCGCCGCACCGATGTAAAAAATTTAATTTTTCTTGTCTTCTTCTCAAATAGTGTTGTCGCGGTGCTGTCGTCTGGGTGGTGCGGCAAGTTGGCTGGCAGGGGCCAGGAGTCGGCTTGGCATATACCAAGGAGGTGGTGTGGCATGTGCCATTGCTTGTGCTGCTCAGCTTGATTGAAGCCAAGGTTTGGCTCGGCATGGGCTGAGGAAATAGCATGGCATGAGTTACGGTTTAGGCTGCTTGTAAAAAATGAGGAAACTGCTTGAGTTTGATTTCTCAGCTACCATAGATGGAGTAGTCAGGGATGGAACTGCCAAGATTAGAGCTGCTAAATATGAAGTGTTGGATGAGCGAATTGTTGAGCGCAAAAAGTGGCTGCTGCCCCCTGACCATTTTGCTTCCTACTCGATCTTCAAGCATTCGATTCTTTGAGCCATGTGGCTTTCTCGTACTGGAGAGCTTACCTAGATGGGTGTCAGGGAATTAGTTTACCTTCTCGCACTGGAGAGCAATTAGTTTACCTTCTCGCATTGGAGAGCAATTAGTTTATCATCTCACATTGGATAACAGACCCATATGGGTGTCGGGGAATTAGATTACCCTCTCGCACTGGAGAGCAATTAGTTTATCCTCTCGTACTGGAGAGCAGACCCATATAAGTGTCGGGGAATTGGTTTACCCTCTCGCAATGGAGAGCAGACCCATATGCGTGTCGGGGAATTGGTTTACCCTTTCGCACTGAAGAGTAATTAGTTTATCCTCTCACACTAGAGAGTAGACCCAAAAACAATTTTGAGCAGTTGTTGTAGACAGCAGTTGAGCTAGGCTTATGAATAAAACCCAACCCGAGTCCAAATGAATCTAAATAAAACCCAACTCAAACCCGAGCTTGAATTGTAAAAGCTGGGTTAAGATGGGTTGACTTTCCAACCCACCCAACCTGCCCGAGTTGCACCCCAAGTATATGTGTCCCACAACTAATCACTAAAAAAAAGAAAAAAAAAAAAATCTCTTTCTTAAAGACCTCGTGTGTATATAACGGCTAAATAACGGCCGCCGGCATTTGGAAATTCAAATGTTGGACTCTTTCAAACCTGGGCGTTGAACCTGGAAAGTGACTGCAGCAGCTGCTACCAGCCCAGGAAACGGCTGGTATAAGGCCTAGCTTGGCCAGCCCAATGACTCTTTGAGGCTCCGTTAAGTTTTAACCCAGTCTTTTGAGCGGACATGAATTTTTATCCAAATTAGACCATCTTTTCACCATTTAACCGTCTTCCCCTTTCAGTTTCACTGTTTCAGCTTCGCAGCGGAGCAAAATTTCAATTGGGTCTCGGACAAAGAACAAAACTTTCAATTGGGTTTGTCCCTTTCCCTACCATCGATTACCAGTTGGGGTTTTGATCGACCTTGCCAGGTAAATTTACTTTTACCCTGAAGTTGCTGTTTTTTCTTGTTCAAAAAATTTGTGAATTGGGTTTTTTTTTTTGGGCATTGAATTGGTGGATTTGGATTCTAGGTGGGATGAAGTACTACTTACTGTCGTTCAATTCAGCATAAATGGTTTTTTTTTTTTATTTCATGTTAAATAAGAAATGATTGAGATATAGTTTTTGTTTTTCTACCACAGTTGTTTATCCCCAATTTAGCTATTGAAATTTCTGCATTTTTTGGTTTTGATATCACTTGATTTGATCAGGAATGGATAATACAGCACTGCAAGAGTGCTCTGTACCTGAAGATGTTCTCCGGACATTTTTAAGTGAGGGAAACTCATCTACCCTCGTAAATTCATTGGAAAATTTAATACAAGTTTGTAGAACTGCGGATGGTCGTGCAGGCCTTGCGTCTAAGGATATTCTTCCCTCTGTCATCCTGCTCATACAATCTCTCCTTTACCCTTCTGGTTGCCATCTTCTCACATTATGTTTAAAGCTCCTAAGAAATCTTTGTGCGGGAGAGATTGCAAATCAGGACTTATTTATTGAAAGAAATGGAGTGGCAATCATATTGAATGTTTTGAACTCTGCAAGTCTTTCTTCGGAGCCAGATACTGGGATCATTCGGATGGGGTTGCAAGTTCTCGCTAATGTTTCATTGGCTGGACAACGGCATCAGTGTGCCATTTGGCAGCAACTTTTTCCGAAAGAATTTGTCGCTATAGCAAGAGTTCAGAGCCGGGAAACTTGTGATCCCTTGTGCATGGTTATCTATGCTTGTTGTGATGGAAGCCCTGAACTGTTTGCCCAACTTTGTGGTGATCGTGGGATAACTATCGTGAAAGAGATTGTAAAGACTACTGCTGCAGGTAACTTTGTATATTCATTTTTTTTTATCTCACCAATATTTCACTGATACCATCCGCCTTAGCTTCAGTTGAGTTCCTTTGCTGAAACCTAATATTAATGAAACGAACCCTAATCTGTGCCTTGTTTTAACCTTTCGGGTGTCTTACAGTTGGTTTCGGAGAAGATTGGTACAAGTTGATTCTTTCAAGAACCTGCTTAGAAGGACCTTACTTCCAGTCACTTTTCTCAAATTTAGGATTTGTTGGTGCTACTGAGAATGGCGAAGACACTGAATTTAGAGAAGACGTTTTCTCAACTGAGCAAGCATTTTTCTTGAGAAACATGTCTGACATCTTGAATGAGCGGCTTCAAGAGATTACTGTGCCTAGTGATTTTGTACTGTGTGTCTTTGGGATATTTAAGAAATCTGTTGGGATTCTTAATTATGCCGCAAGAGGCAAGTCTGGACTTCCAACAGGTTCTATTATGATAGATGTTCTAGGATACTCACTCACAATCCTGAGAGATGTATGTGCTCAGAAGTCCGTAAGAGGCTCTAACGAGGACCTGGGGGATGCTGTTGATGTTTTGCTATCCCATGGCCTCATAGAATTACTTTTACGTTTGCTTCGTGATCTTGAGCCGACATCAGTAATGAGGAAAGCTATCAAGCAAGGTGAGGACCAAGAGGGACCAAAGCCTTCTTCCTTAAAGCCCTGCCCTTATAAAGGTTTTCGGAGAGATATAGTGGCAGTCATTGGCAATTGCACATATAAAAGGAAGCTTGTACAAGATGAGATTAGACAAAAGGATGGGATTCTTCTGCTCCTGCAACAGTGTGGCCTTGATGACGACAATCCGTACTTAAGGGAGTGGGGCATTTGGTGCGTGAGGAACTTATTCGAAGGCAACGAAGAAAACGAAAGGGTAGTGGCTGAATTGGAGCTTCAAGGGGCTGTTGATACACCAGAAATTGCTCAACTTGGTCTTCGAGTAGAAGTGAATCCAGAAACTAGACGGCCAAAGCTTGTTAACATCCCATGAAGAAGGTAGTTCAATCTGACGCTGATTAGTGATCAAGAAGCTGATTAGATTCGATTGGATGAATCCAGAAATGCGTGATTTTCTCATTATAAATTTTTTCTTTGAGCTCAGGTGTTTTGCAAACGTATTCGATCTGGTTAGTGTGCAAAATTTCAGAGTAGTGCAAACAGCATGAAAGGATGGATTGTATTGTATTGAATTGACTTCTGAATTTCTTGCGGTTTCAAACCTTCGTCTCCTTGTCTGTCAATTTGTCCGTTAATTGCTGACACGGTAAAAACGGCTTACAAGAGGAAAAAAAACATTCCCTCTTTCTCGATCCCCCAATCTCCAAATCTTTTTACTCTCTCTTTAAAACCTCAAATCTTTTTTACTTTCTCTGTCCTGTCGTCGTCGGAAGCGGTGGTGGTCCAACACCGAGCGTATGCCAGGGTGAGCCTGTTGGAGTGACACATCAGCAAGGCCATGTCAGCATAAGTTTGTTAGAGCTGTTAGAGGTTGTTAAAACTTAGTTAATATTCTAGCTTGTAGTGTACGACTCATTTGGGATATAAAAGGACTGATTGTGCTTCATTTGTATTCACTGAGAAAATAATACAAGATCGAATTCTACTTTTCTCTCTGAGTGTTCATCCTTCTCTCTCTACATTTCTTAAGCTTTAGTAATTTGTTATAGTTTTCTGGTTTTGTTATCATGGTATCAATCGCCCGGACAATCCTTGGTGCCATTTCTTCCGCTGAAGATTAAAGAACTAGAGATTTTTTGGGGAGCTCTGATTGGAGTTTCTTCATCTGGGTTTTTCGATTCAAAACTGGGTTACGATTCAAGATCGGTGCTTTCTCAAGTTATGTTCTTGGAGCTTTATGCATAGCAAGCGTTTGTTTAATTGTCACATTGAAAATCTTTCCACTTTTGAGTGTTTTTTGAGGCCGAAGCTATTATTGTTCAGTTGAAAGATATTAAGATCAATGTCAGTCCTTAGAATTGTGTTGAATTTTGATGAAGTTTGTGTTAAAAGAAATGAGATTTTCATGAAGAAAAAGTTGTTAGAAGCATGTTGATTAAAGGCTGATGTCATAAGAAGGGAGATTTTCGTGAAGAATAGAAGTGTGAATTTCAGTTGAGAAGTGAATAACAAGTTTCTTGAAGAGTGTTTACAGTGAAGATTGTGGATTGAAGATTGGTTAATATAAAGATTGTTGTTATGCAGTCTGTGAAGATTGTGAATTAGAGATTGTTTGTTTCTCTGAGATTGTTTACTGTGAAGCTTGATTAGTTGCAATTTTTTGGTTCAATATGGGGTCAAATAATGTCAAGATTGAAGGTTTGCTAGGAATGATAATTGTGAAACTTCAAGATGACAATTTTGTTAAGTGGAGTAATCAATTTCAATCGGTTTTCAGAGGATATGATTTGTTTGAGTTCTTTAATGGAGAATCTCAATGTCCACCAAAGTTTTGCATCACTACTGAATGTGGGTCAAGAAGGACTTAACTTTATTAAGCTTACTAATTGCAACACTTTTTGACGAGGCCTTATAAGACATCACAAGAAGCATGGGAATGTCTTCAAGAAAGGTTGCATCTGTTTCGATGGTGAAGAGTGAATCAATTGAAGACAGAGTTTCATATTGCACAGAAAGGGAATGATTATGTTGACAAGTTCTTACTAAGATTGAAAGAGATCAGAAATCAGTTAGTCTCAGCTGGTGAAAAGATAACAAATAATGATTTTATGATTAAAGTGTTGTCAGGTTTACCAACAAAATTTGAAGTCACCAAAACAATATTGTTGGCAAGAGATACATCAATTTCTTTGAAAGATTTTCGAACATAGCTTCTTGGTGCTGAAGCATACATTGATTCCAAGATTACAAGTTTGTCAAATACAATGTTAGCTATGTGTGTTCAAGGTGAACCTTCCAATTCACAAAGATATTAGGGAGGCTATCAAGAGTATGAACAAGGAGAAAGCTCTAATACTCAGAAAGCATAGGGTGAAGTGAACTTTAATAGAGGATTTGGTTATGCTGGTAATGGGGGAAAATCATTTCATCTACAACAAAGAAATAAATACAAAAATTACAACAACATGAGGTTTGCTGGAAATAACAACAATTTCAGGTCATTTTCTAATTTTGGTGATAAGACGGGGAATTTTAGTTATGACAATGGTAAAGTTCAAGTGGTAGAGGTTATCAGAATAGTTTTGGTGGGAATGGTTCAAATGGCTCAACCGAATATTTTTTGGAAATGGTTCAAGACAAGGAAGTGGTTGGCAGGGTAATACAAATTACAGGTCATCAGTGTCACCAGAATGTCAAATATGTTCTAAAAGAGGTCACACAGCTCCTAATTGCTATTATAGAAGTACTCAGAATCAGCCTCAATCATTTAGGAATGGTAACGTGTGTCAAATTTATGGAAAAATGGGTCACATAGCATTGGAATGCTATCATAGAAACAACTACTCGTACCAAGGCAATCCTCCACCACCTCCATCACTTACTGGCATGATTGCTCAAGGGTCAAATGGTATTGGTTCCATCCATATATGCATGAATTCTCTACAGCTGATACATGGGTAGTGGACATATGGGCCGCTCACCACATGATAGCTAATCTTGATATCATCAATCAAGCTGTTCTTTACAATGGTGATACTAAGATCACTGTTGGTAATGGTGAAAGTTTGCAAGTCCAACATATTGGATCTTCAGTTTTAAAAACACCATCTAATGCCCTTATTTTGCATAATGTCTTGCATGTTCCCAAAATAACTGTGAATTTGTTATCAGTTAAAAAGTTATGCAGAGATAATAGGTATTGGTTTGTATGTGATGATTTGATATTCTTTATACAGGAGAAGGCAACACAAATGATTTTGTACCAAGGAAATAGTGATGATGGTGAGCTGTTCAAGATACCAGTCAGTGTGTTTTCTCATTCATTTGTTGCAAAATTGAGAAAGTGTGTTGCGTTCATAAGGAAGAAAGTAAAGACTTCAGTATGACATAGAAGGTTGAGACATCCATCTGAAGAAGTGTTGTGTTCAATGATGAAGAGTGCATAATTACCAGTTAGTATAGATTCCTCTCCCTCTATATGTTCTGCTTGTATTCAAGGCAAGATGAGTAAACTGCCTTTTCATAAGAGATAAAGTTTTATGTTTCAAAAGATACATTCAGATGTTTAGGGTCCTTCATCTCAGAAATCTATAGAATGATATAGGTATTACATCAATTTTATAGATGATTTCTCTAGGTTTGTATGAATTTACCCTATGATGAATAAATCAAATACATTTTCCATCTTTGTCAAGTTCCAAAATTTTGTGATTAATCAGTGCAATGCCACTATTAAATGTTTGCAATCTGATGGTGGAGGGGAATACATGAGTAATATGTTCAAGAATTTTTCGGAAGATAAAGGAATTACTCATCAAGTGTCTTGTCCTCATACCTTTCAGCAAAATGGACTTGCTGAGAGGAAGTATAGACATTTGGTTGAGACAACTTTAACTAAGCACAAATTCCTACATCTTTTTGGTATCACTCTTGTTCTCATGCAGCTTTCTTAATAAATAGAATGTCTTGTAGAATTTTAGGCATGCATTCTCCTTATTAGGTTTTATTTGGACAAAATCCTGAGATTTATAATTTGAAGATATTTGGAGCGGTTGTTTATCCATTACTCAGGCCCTTCAATGCAAATAAACTGCAACCTAGAGCTATTCAATGTGTGTTTATGGGTTTTGCTACGGGGTATAAGGGAGTCATCTGTTATGATATCAAATCCAGAAAATTCATTGTATCTCGACATGTGGTACATGATGAAGATGTACATCCCTTTAAGTATACAGTTTCAAGGAGTATATCAGATCATACAATAGTAGCACAATCTCATGTTATAATTCACTTACCTGACACATTTGGAAGTTCAGCAATCAATAGATAGAAGAATTCACAAGAGATTCATACAGTGACTAATGTTGATTCAAACAATACAGCAGTGACAAATGGTTATACTTCTGATTCCAATGGAAATGAAGGGTTATCAAATTCATAACAGTTTGGTTCAAGTGGCAATGCAGAATCTCCAGAGTTAGAACAACATCATCATTCATCCCATCATTACTCTAGTACATCATCAATGTTGCTTGTCCATTCATCCACACAACTTGAGGTAACATTTCTTATCTCTACACAATTCAATTAACCTACAAACAGTGAGTCAACCACACATTCTATGACAACTAGATTGAAGAGTGGAGCTATATCTAGAAGGAATTATGCATCTTTACTTGCCTCATGTCCTGAATTGCATTCCTTACAATTAATTGAGGATGAACCATTTGTTGGGGATTTTTCTTTCTTATCTGAAATTGTTGATCCTTTTAAGCCTCATTCATTTCAAAAAGCTGCAATATTGCCATAGTGGCAAGCAGCAACGCAAGTGGAATACAACTTACTTAGAGCATAGGGAACTTAGACTTTGGTACCACATCCAGAGAATAGGGCAATTGTTGGGAGCAAATGAGTTTACAAGGTTAAAAAGAACCCAAATGAGAGTATTTCAAGATATAAAGCAAGATTAGTGGCTTAGGGGTTCTCACAGGATCATGATATTGATTATCTAGACACTTTTCGTCTTGTGGTAAGGCATACAATTGTTATAATGATTCTAGCTTTGGCTGCAACAAATCATTGGGATCTTAGACAACTTGACATCAAGAATGCATTCCTACATGGTGATTTGCAAGAATAGGTGTTCATGAAACAACCTCAAGGTTTTGTTGATGCATCTCATCCTACATATGTATGTAAGCTAAACAAATCCTTGTATGGTTTGAAGTAGGCTCCAAGGGCATGGAATTCAAAGTTCACTAGCTATTTGACAACTTTACAATTTGTTGGATCACCCTTTTATACAAGTTTGTTTGTTAAGACAGATGGCACATATATGATAATTCTACTACTTTATGTAGATGACATCATACTTATAGGATCAAACTCTTCAAAAGTTCAACAGGTTGTTTAAGAATTGTCTTCTATGTTTGAGCTCAAAGATATGGGGAAACTCATCTATTTCTTAGGGTTGCAGATTCATTACAGAGCTAATGGAGATATATTTGTGAATCAGTCAAAATACATTAAAGATTTGATCCACAAAGCAGGTATGGATTCTTGCAAACCTGCAACAACCCCATGTAAACCACATCAACAATTAATTGATGCAGAAGGCACGGTTTTGACAGATCTAACATTATATAGGAGTTTGGTTGGTTCATTGCAGTATTTGACTTTCACAAGGCCATATATTGCTTATGCAGACAATTCAATATGCCAATTTATGTCTTTACCAACAAAGTCACATTTTGCATCTGTAAAAAGGATACTAAGATATCTTCAGGGCACACTTCAATATGGAATTCTATACTTTGTGGATACAGTACTCAATCTTAATGCCTTTTCAGACTCGAATTAGGCTGCGGATCTCAACAATAGGAGATTAGTCACAGGGTATGTTGTGTTCTTGGGAAACAATCCAATTTCTTGGCAGTCTAAAAAGCAGAATTCAGTCTTTGGAAGTTCTACTGAAGCTAAGTATAAAGCTTT